ATTTGACTAATTAAAGCCCCTTCTTGCATATTGGTAAGGAGTTTGTAGTAGAGGGAGGTACTTCTTGTCTAGAGGCACATATGCCTTTATGCCTTCGCATGAGGGTTATACTCTCAATACCAAAATCCCTGGCCACTTGACTGTAATTAGGGATCAATTACGCATCTAGCGCATTAATCGCTTTCTTAATATCTTATTCGCTGACCATTTTATCGAATTTTGAAGATGGAGGGGTAATATTTTGTGAGGTGTGCATTGACTAGGGATCTCGGTTATATGACTCGATTTGATTTGATTAAGACGCTCTAATCAAATCAAATCAAATCATTTGACACACTGGGGGTGCTTACTTCAACGCGTGGTTATTAACTGGTTCCATCTCGAGATACGAAGGATTATAGGACGCGAGGATACGATAATGAAAAGGGGCATGGAAGTTAATCGGTGGGAGGGATGGGTTTTGGGGGGGGGGGGGCTGGAGGGCTGTCGTTTTACGATTCCCCCTTGTAATAATGGGCTGAACTTGCTTGAGTTATAGGCTCTGAAGCCCCAAGTTAAATGGCCTATGTCTCATGATTTGGGGATTAATGCTACTATAATTACAGACGACAATTTTGCACACTAAAGTCTATTTCCGCCTTTGAGGTGAGCCTTGAGTCCTGAGCACGCTAATGAATCAGTTGGATCTTGCTCAGAGGGGCGGGGGTTGTGACGGCGGAGCTAGAGCTGTTGGAACGAGCGCAAAGATCTCCATTCCCTGTCTTGTAGAATACAAAGCTAAAGAGAAGGGGGGAGAGAGAGAGTAAAAAAGAGAAGAAGTACAAGATAAAACGACCGAAACGCCGGCTTGATAGGGGAACCAGTCAGGTGATAGCCTACCCCGCATAATGCTAGCCAGCGCCGTCACTGGGGGGGGCTGTGAGTGATGTGTGCCTCAGATTTAGGCATGGCAAAATTGTGTAATTTAGGACTAAATATGTAATAACGTAATATTATTTCCTCACTAAGCTATATAGGACGTTCGAGCTAATAGGAGATCCCGAAGTAAGGCTACTAGAGTTTGTGCTATAAATTATACTCACTTAACCTGACTTATATTTAGAGCATATATAATTTTATGCAACACGTTATGCAATACGTATTTGATAACTTGAATATTATATAATATAAATAATTACGATTTTGCCATCCCTACGAGTCGGATGCGAAATATGAGGAGCAGACAGCCATGTTTTAGCTGAACAGATTGTTTGTACTACGGTAAGCGTTGAAACAATTGGCCAATCAAATACGGCTTGGTTTGCCAATACCGGACGAACTTTAGTCCAGGCGCGGACTGCAGCCTAAATACTTGACAACGTTCTCCTCTTTCAATTTCGCGGACAGGTTGACTTGACTGAGCTCAGATCGTAGTCATCACGAACGGTGAATTGGGCAACGCGTCCGGCCTACTCGGATTGCCCATTACATGCGCGTTGGCAGCCGAAACGCGATCATTACCTCGACGATGGGTCTGTTCGACTTCTTGCGCTATCTGCGACTCAAATTCCTTATCTCGTCTCTTCGCCTCCTTGCGAAACTCTTGGCCCCGTTGCCAGCACCCAAGCCAGACTCAGTTTTGAGAATATCATCTCGCGACAAGGGGCGGACCATCAAGATTCATGTCTACAACCCAGGCGGGGAGGCGGGAGGCACTAGAGGGGACCCGCATCCCGTGCTGATCAATTTCTATGGCAGTGGGTTTGCTCTCCAATATCATGGTGCTGACGACGGTTTCTGCCGGTTCGTTGCCACGCACACCGGCCACGTAGTCCTCGACGTCCAGTACCGTGTGGCACCAGAGAACCCTTTCCCCGCGGCGGTCAACGACGCCGAGGACGCCGTGAAATATGTTCTTGGCCACCCAGACGATTACCAGACGTCGTACGTCTCCTTGTGCGGATTTTCGTCTGGCGGCACCCTTTCACTTGTCACCTCGACCCTGTTTCCCCACGGTACCTTTCAGTCACTCATCGGATTCTATCCGTCCCCCAGCATGGCCGGAGATCCGGGGGAGAGAAAGGCCCCTGTGCCCGGCAGAGAACGATCGTCGTTCTGGACGAAAGTCTTCCGTGAGGCTTACATACGTGGAAAAGATGCCCGAGACCCCCGAATTTCGCCAGTTTTTGCCGATACGACCAACTTTCCGCAGAAAATGCTAATATTTACTGCGGACCATGACATTTCTGCCACGGATATGGAGGCGCTGGCTGAAAGAATCAAGATAGAAGGCCATGCAGGCGGCAGAAGTATAGTGGTAAGGCGGATGGAGAATTGTGATCACGGCTTTGACAAGAATAATAAGCGCAAAAACCAGATGGAGGCTGGTCGGGAAGCTTATGCACAGGTTGCGGATTTTCTGAAGAGTTTGGAGAGTGAGAGCGGATAAATTGACCGTTTTACTAAAAGTGGGCTAAAGTTGGATTTGGTTATTTTCAATTCGTATCAGCCTCCATGGAGCCTGCCGATTCAACGTTTATATGCCCAGACATGCTTATTCGAGGGTTCTTATCTTTCAGAAAGCTATGTCACAATGTTGGAGCCTTTGAAGTCATGGCAGTAGATCAGTGGCTGGGTCTATTAATGCTGTAAACCCTATAGCTCTTTTTGTCGTTCCATAATTGGAGCCCTCAATCTACTGTCCATCCTGCCATTTTTCAAGACATCCATGGTGAGTTTTACGTCTTCGAGTCTCAGCTCTTATATTACTAAGTCGAATACTGAAATATCCTTTGATTACACACTAATGACTGAATTTGAGAGCTATAGCGATTCAGAGAGTTATTTCACCTACAAAACTCTCCTCGACTTTCTGATCGATATAAATGACAAATATATCCCTTTTGCTAGAAACACTATTGGCAGATGGGAGGTGGTTGACGTTAGCGTGACTACTAGAAGTAGAACTCCCTATAGATTTCGATACAATCATCTTTGAAACTCTAACTAACTCCTCACACCCTATAAGGGCCTTATTTAGTAAGAGTCTTAATATAATATATATGAGAATAAAATTTGTAAATATACTCTTATATATGAGTTAAGAAATAAACCTTAATAAAGGAATGAAGTAAAGAAGTAATTACGCAAAGAGGATAGAAGTTTATGACATAAGGAGAGTATATTTCCTTACAAATCTATGTGCTTTAAATACCTTAGAAGGGAACTATAGAGGGGCGAGCGAACCTTAAATTAGTTTTCTAAACTTAATTAAGTTGAGTTGAGTAGAGCTTAGTAAATATTATAGCTTCTTTAAAGATAATTTGGCTCTCTAATAGCTATCCCTAAAAGAGGAATTAAATCAAAAATCAGTTAGTACACGTGCCACTCTACGGCTCTTATAAGCTGCCCACGCCCAACCCCACTTTTGGGGCCTTCGGACCGGGGGGTTGAGATTGGCTATGCTTATATATTTTCCAACTGACTATGTAATTGTGGGTGCAGTGTGCGCTAGTCTCCACTCACACTCACATGTAACCTAGGCGAGAAAACCACTCATTTCCGTGCAATAAGTTTCATAGTCTGTGTGAATTCGACTTATGTTACTGCAAATAACTCAAACCCAAACTCCTGGTACTTTTCTTTCCGCACAACATTCGCCTTCATGCCCGTCATGCGCCATGGATTCTAGTTCTCACCAGTCTTTTATAAAACTTAGTCTTAGGTAATTTCCCTTTATCTATCTTATTGAATACGTTCTTCTCGCGGCAAGAAGGTCGTTCTCGTCTACGATGACTCAGAATATCGTTACAACTGGGTGGGAGGAGAGAATGTCTCTCTGAAGTTTGGTTTCCCAGGACAAGACAAGTTTTCAGCAAGCAGAGATTTAGAGATAGTTACGAACCCAAACTATACCGGGGGGTGGCTCGGCAAGTAGAGAATTTGGCGTTCAGTCGAGCTTTCGAGGCTGGACATTATGTACATAGTAACCAGCCGTTGAAGTCTTACTAGATTCCGCGGAGGAGTCTGAATAATCAGGATATTGCTACTGGCAAGGTTGAGCCGGATTCGGATATACACCGAAGGTCCAGCGGATAGCTGGTCATGGAACCACGATACAATCGCAGCACACATCCTTCCTCTAAATCCGCTAGTTATTTGCACCACGTGGAATATTTGTGGCATGTGCGGTGAAACCAAAATTGAAGCATTACTGGATGGCTCGGCAGTTATTGCAAATGATATTGTGATCATTCCTAATGTGGAGTTCTCGGATGTTTGAATTACAATAGGCAACGTTCACAGAGGGACGGGACTAGCAGTATATGAGTTGAATGTAAGAGCGATTCTATCTTCATATTCGTAATGAACTGAAAAATTCCGTCTCTCTTACTGTCTCGATGTATTTCGTCTAGGACACCTCTCTTCCCACAAACCCCGAATCCATTAATTCACAAGAAACATAGTCGACATCTCTGATTAGAAGAAAACACACTAAAGTTCCTACAAATCCTGTTCTCCGCAATACAATCCCCCTTTCTTCTAATACCTAAAATCCAGACCCTCCCCTTTACTCTCTCGGTTGTGGATGCAGTGACCTAGTCAGCACCCCTGGCGTTGATGCCTTTCGGCTCAGGCAAAAGTCGGGGAAATAACCGTAAAGGTAAAAGTCTCCGTATTCGTATTTTTAGCGAAGTGGCGTTAATTGTGAATGGTGGTTGGTGGTTGAAAAAAGAACCATGGAAGAAGCTTAGCGCTCAGCCCTAAGATTCCAAATCCTTTTTGGTGCAACGCGTCGGTACCCGGTCAAGGCTGCTTCAGGCTTAACTCAAGTTATCGCGATTACTGTATAACTTTAGAGAACAAGGAATAATTAGAACTAAAGAATTTGGAAGGTAAAGAAGGTTTGATTAGAAGCGTTCAAAAGTTTACAACTCTTTAGAATTTGTTTCGGTGTTGTGTCGGCAGGCCCGTTACAGACATGTGTCAGCGGCCGACCAGGCCGCCGCCAACCTGGGATCCTAGCCGCGTCGCTCAACGTCAAGAATCAAGAATCAAGCTTACTGAACATCATTCAACCCAACGCCGATACCCTCACGCCTCATTCCTGGAGGATCACACAGAGCTGCTCTGCTCCTGCTGCTGGCCGACTGAATTTGTGTGTGAAGGGAAAGAAAAACGTTGCGGCTTGCGAGAGACCAGCGGAAGCCCAGATGGGCATTGCTTCGTGTTCGTGAGCTGACTGGATTATCTTGATACCACCCCGTGCTGCATGTCACCGATACTCAAGTCGACATCAGTGACGCTATCGTCAATTGAGGAGTGGATGGGAACATGGCAGGAGAGCAATTCGTTAGGTCCCCCACCTCCTCAACCACCTCCTCGGCCACCTCCTCTGCTCGCAATCCATTCCGCGCCTCTTCTGGCGGCCCTAGCTTTAGCTACAACCTCCACGGGGAGGCAAAGAAGATAAGCTCTGGACCCTACCGTGTTTACCAAACCATCTTCGAAAGAGCGTGTTCGGAATCGTACTATATCCTCGGTATGCCAACTTCCCCCACGTCGTAAGTCTACGTTCGCTAACTGAACACAGACGATGCCGCCATCAAAATAGTGAAGCTGTCTGGACTCCATGACACAGATCTGGAGAGCCTCTGGGATGATGTGAGCTGTTCTTCCTGCTGAGAAAGGATTGGGTGGCGTATTTGAACAGATGTTAAATCAATCACAGGCTCTTGGCGCGACGTATCAGCCTTCTTTGCCAGCTAGGTCACGGCAAGGCTTTCTCAACCGAGATGAGTTCTTCATACTCCTTGCTAACCTTCAGACAAAGCTTGGTATGGGCGATGATTTGTTCCAGCAGAGGTTTGCAGCCTACCAGGAACCAGATGCTCTGCGAGGGAGCCCCTCAACTACATACTCGTATACGATTGGACTTGATGAACAGCATGAGGGCACGCGGTCGCCTGACAATTCCCAGCAGACAAAGTTGATCATAACCAGGAAGCCGCTTTCCAGAGGTCAACTAATCAAGTCGTGGAGTATCAGTGATTCCATCGGATCAGACCACGTTCAAGTTAGCGCTCCAGACCACGAGGAGACATACGCAGACGGATTTACAGAATATCACTCGCCGACGTTTCAGAACCGACTCCCATCGTTTAACGTTGGGCTTGACGATACTGGAAGTGGCAAACAGCCACAGCTAGGGGTCTCTTCTTCTTGGGTTTGCTCTAAATGCACACATCGAAATTTGTTTGATAGCCTTACTTGTGGTGTATGCGATTTCCGACGGAACCTAGATCTGTCGTCCGATAAAATATTAACAGACGACCTCCATGGAAGCTCGACAACTCCAACAACCTCCGTACGCCAACAGAATTCATTGCAGGAGCCGGTAGATGGAATGGACTACAAGGAGGCAGTCCGGTTTTCTCTCCCTACAATGCCCGAGGTCGTGGTCCCTACACTGCCCGAGGTCGTGCTCCCTACACTTCCTGAGGTCGTTCTCCCTACACTCCCTGAAGTCGTGCCTGAAATCGAGTCTGGACTCGAGCCAGTGGAGACGACGAGAGAAGTGACAACGCCAATACGGAACCCTCGCCTGAATCCTGGTTTCCATGATATCGATGCACCAATCGCTACCCAAGACAGCGATGCTCAGGCACTTGCTCTCATCGCGGCCCGGGAGCCTCAGCAAGCTCAGAAGCCCCAGCCAAAGAAGACGGCACTCAACATCAAAAAATTTAGTCGTAGCATTTTGTCAGGCTCAAGGAAGTCAGAGAAGTCAGAAAATTCCCACTCGGACCCGGACTTGGCCGCTAATGGATTCTCACTCGGTGGTCTGGCGAAAATACTTGGGGATGCGGCCGAAGCAGGAAATTTGCCGCTTGTTGCTTCTATCTTGAAATTGGGTGCAGATGTAAACTACTCGTCGCGGAAGAAGGAGGTGTGCCATTACGCTGCTACGCGAGGTGTTACTTCGAATAACGACCACGTTGTGGAATACCTGTTGTTGAAAGGTATGAACAAAAAATCTGCCGCGAATGCACTACACCAGGCGATCATCAGAGGAAACTGCACAGAAATCGCTATGAAGCTTGTGCCATATGCAGACTTCAACTTCATGTGGGCAGTGAAAGGGGATGGGGGAAAAACACAGGAGTCTTGTCTTGGGGCTCTCAGCCGGATGAATGACGAAGGAAATCGGGATAGGTTACATCTCCTACGCCTGATGATGGAGCAGCCAAGTTTCGATGCGGACCAGCCTGCCATGTTACTCGAATCGGCTTCCGAAAAGGTCGCACTGTCAATTCTTGGTTGCTTTGCCCAACATGCAGGCTTCGCAGCCGTCGAATCTCTCCTTCTTCAACTCGGGGACAACTACAAGGTCACGCGGCAGCAAAGATACGGCAGCCCCTATGTCCACGTTGATCCTATTGCCTGTATCAGCGTCAATTACTGGCAACGAGAACCGAAGCAAGCACTGGAACTGGTCCATCTTCTCATGAAGCACGGATCACGGATTACAGGAGTCGTGGAGAAATATACACCCCTTGTTCCTGCAATCGTGGCGGGTTGTGTATCCGGGGTGCGGCTGCTCTTAGACATGGGCGCAGATCCCGAGTGCGTGATGTGTACCGTTGGCTGGTCCACGCCGCTTTCTCCACTGAGTTATGCAGCGCAGGAACCCTCAATCAGCATAGAAATATGTCGTACGCTTGTTTACAAAGGGGCAACGCCATGGCGATCAGATGACCAGGGAAGGACTGCACTCTATTGGGCTTGTCATGGAGGGAACTTTGAGGCAATCAAGTACCTGTACACGTTAGACGTGGCACGCAGCAATATCAGCAAATGCTTGGAGGCGGCTATCGATTCGCACAATCCAGAAGTAGCCAGAGAGTTAGTGAATATCGGCGCCTGTGCCACGGCTGCAACTTGGAAACACGTCATGTCAACCAAACCTGTTGGGCACCGAAGAAACACCTATCTCGAAATCATCGACATCCTCCTCTCCACGAAAACAAAGTTGCAGCGAGAGCTCGTCCTCGCCGCCATCGACCACCAGAATTTCTGGGGGCTGAGTAGGATTCTCGAAACTCGGAACGGGATCCTAGATTTTGACAAGGACGCCATGTTTGCGAATCCGCGGTGGTCTGGTACCGTGTGCAGGGCCAATAGATCCTTTGGTCCGAGGGCTAAGAAATATGGGTGGGGGACGAGAAAGGACTTGCAAACGTGTTTAGCATATGCGGTGGAGAGGAATGCGCATGATATTATTGCGTTGTTGAAGGGTTACGAGTGGGAGAATAACGCGGAATGCGAGGCGGGTTGCAGCTTGAAACTTTGGGAGGAGGCTTGTCTGAGCACGCCACCCCATAGAGTTCAAAACGGCTATAGTATAGAGGTTGCGGGAGGGAATAAGAGCGCTGTTTAAATGTGATTAGAAGAGGCTTTTTACCAGAAATATTAGTTGTTAATTATAATATATTTGATCAAGCCTCACTTCTCTTCCTCTTCCTCTTCCTCTTCCTCTTCCTCTTAACTTTCAAAACTCTCAACCACCATAAATCCAAGCGGTACTGCTCCTGAGTCCCAATTCAGTAAAGTGCGGGCCCTTCCATGCGGCCTTGTTGTCCTGTCTCCTCATTCCTCGTTCCGATTCCCCTTGGCTTTGTGGGCCGGCTTTGAGACAAGTCGTACTGGTCTTCTTATCTGAGCTCAAGAAAGCGCCGTGTCTCAGCCCTGTTGTCAGCCCAAGCCCTATTTGAACGATGCCATGAGACGTCATGCCATCGCACACCTGATACCACTGGAGGCAGAATTATCATTTTCTTGTGATAAAATGGTATTTCAGTAGTGGTCCAGTGTATCGGTTGGAGAAGATTTCCGTTCCCCTGCGATTGTAGCACATGAATCCAAAGACACTTCAGGGACACATTTGTTCAGAGCTTCTGCACTTGCAGTTGAGGACTCATTCTGGATTTGGAATAATATAATGGAATCTCGTCAACAGAATCTTCAAGGCGTCCCAAATACTGGCATTCCTCACCGAAAGCCAGTAGGTGGATCGGCATTCCCATCGCTCATCAAGTTTGGAGCCGTACCACTATCGTGACCAAGCAACCTATCCAATAAGCCAGCCATATAAGCTAGAATATTGAGCCATTCAGTCGGACCTTAATTCTTATATAAATCAGTCAGCTGAAGACATACTAACTTATAACCGACCGATCAGTTACTTATACTAATATCGCGATTTTGAGGTCCCTTAGAGATGCTATCCCTTCGTCCGTTGAGACATGGTCCGTACTAGCAAAGGGGCCTGGCACAGACTGCAAAAACGTGTCTTTGCTTATAAACATATTAGTCATCTGTCGCCTTTTTGCCCTGAGCAGTGTGTCAAATGAATAGAGTAGAATAGAATAACGGCCGTTACTCTTATTTTATTCATATATTATTCAAGTTATTCATGAATAATCATGAATAACTTAAATAACGCACGTGATCTATGCACGTGGCTGAGCTAGCCTAATCGGGTACGGCTTCGGGGGGGCCGCACCAAGCGCCACCTCGCTACCCAATCAGGTAGTAGTGGCGCTTGGTAAGCGAATCGAACCTTAGCGATAATTAGTTTATTTATTATAGAAAATCTGTATTTAAGTAGCCTTATATAAATATTAGCTTAGTTTATATAAGGCTGCTTAATAAATACCTTAGTTCTTTTTTTAAATTTAAATATATATTAATTTACTATAATTAATTGACTTCCATGTAACTTCCACATGATTATTCATGATTATTCATGTTATTCATAAATAATTATTCTATTTTACTCAAATTATTTAAGATATTCGTTACTCTTATTTTATTCAAGTTATTCATGAATTATTCATGAATAACTTGAATAACTTGAATAATCCTTTGACACACTGGCCCTGAGCCAGGCCCCTTTGCTAGTACAGACCATGTCTCACCGGACGAAGGGATAATAGGTGTTTTAGGGGATAGAGGGGTAATTAGCTAATAAAAGCCTTAACCATTAGGCCCTAAAACTCTGAAAGTGGGTAGTTCTTCAAAATCCCAGTGATTATCAGCCGTATTGGCTTATGCATACGCGTAAAGTGTACTCGTTGCTGTGTCCATGAAGCTTACTCCACGAGCGTAAATCAATGCCCCGCAAAATGTTCTATTTCCCCTGGATGTGATAAGCTTATCAGCTGTCAAAATAACTTAGCTGATTGCTGACTGGTTGGTTTATTGGACAGCTTGGAAAGCATGCTCTACTATATCAACACCTGAACGATACCAGCAGTTGGACATGCCCTCCACAGAACGAAGATCACTACTCTTCAGGAACATCCTCCCCAAACGGCCACCCCTCTCCACTCCATGTACTCCCCTTCCTCGCCCACTTTCCCACACTTTCCACCTCCTCCCTCCCCAATCGGAGTCCACCATCCTCTTCATTCGCATAAATATGCGGAAACACCCCCTTCTCGCCCTTCACATCCCAACAACCTCCTTTCTCCTCTGGATTCTTCCCCTTCGAGTCCTCCCATTTGATCCACTTCCCTACGGTAGTATATTCAACTCTTAATATGAATACGTGATCCTCGTTCGTGAAGAAGTTGTTGAGTGTGCCGAGAATTTGGTGCGAGGTACTGAGGTGGATGAAATTGTCTCGTGCGTCGAGGGCTGAGAGTGGGAGGTTGTGAGGTAGTGGTGAGGGAGGAGGCGGTGAAGAGGGGAGGATTTTGTAGATGTATTTTGGGACGGGCGATGGTGGCGACATGATCTTTGGATTGTGGTGGATGATGATGGAGAAAGGAGGTGTGAGATTTTTGAAGTGGATGTCTGGGCTGACTAACGTCACGTGACTATGATTCGATTTACCACCCCCTCAGGTAATAAATTGGTTATTTTACAGATGGAACGACGGCGAAAAGCATATCGGATGGATGTCATGTGTTTCTCTTCAAGTACTGCAAATCAAAGAATCCACTCTGATCACGTGCACCACCCCCCTTTCTTCTACCTCTTTCATTCATTTTGTAACTCTTTCGTTGCTTGAGTCTGCTCTCACTCTGTATTCCGTAGCTCCTAGGCCATACCATTAACCCAAAAGATCACTATAGTAAATTCCTTATCAAATCATCCACTTGACTCCGCCTGTACCAAAGCCATCATCAAAGCCAACCCCCCGCTCTGAGTCTCCGGGGTTCTGCCTCTACCCAAACTGTTTGGATCTGTCGTATTCGGAGGACAGGTGGCTTCAGTTCCAATAAGCCCAATATCAGAAACAGCAGCTGGAGCGAGATCAGGAAACGACCAATTTCCCGGAATACCTTTATTCCTGTAATCCGAAGAGCCAGCGGGTTGCTTGGGCGAAGAAGCGCAAGATGCATCTGCAGCAGGAATGTCCCAGTTTCCTCCATACACACCTGCTGCATTACGGGTTCCGTACGCAGCTTCAGCGTTATGCTGGACCCAATCTTTATAGCTAATGCACTTTGCTTGGTGGGCATCAGCCAGGGCTTGCGTTCCCTTGAAGATGACACCCTCTTTCTGGCCAACTACAAGGGGCTTGCAGAAAGCTGTGAAATGGGAGAAGAAGATGCCTTTGAAGGTCTGACCATCTTGACTGCAGCTGTTGGTCGCATCACAAAGTTCCTGCAAGGTCCCATTGATGCCGAGCCCTGACCAGGCCGGATTTCGCTGAGTGCCGGAAACCCAACCAGTGGCAGCAATTACGTTGCGTACGAGGGTATGGCCGTCATCAAGGTAGAATTCTTGACCCGTGGCATCCCAAAGTCCTCGGAGGCCAGAGAGGACAACACCCTGGTTGTATGTGTAGACAGACTCATCGCGTTGGTCACAGTTCCCGGTTCCAGGGTCCGATGCGTTCTGATATCCAGCGATGTGGAAACCATCCACATACAGTCCCTGGGAATTGGTAAAGCCAATCGTCGAGAGCCATTTGTAGGCATCTATTGCGGCGTTGAGGTATTTTGGATCGTGTGCCGGGACGGCTGGGGAGCTGCTGTTATCCGGAGGCGAGTAGAGGTACATGCCAATACTGGATGATACGTAGAGCTCATTGGTGATAGCATTCTTGTAGGGAAATAATGAATAAGTCCAAACCATCCCGCCACCACAGAGAGTGGTGTTCCAACCTTGAGAAGCTACATCCCAAAACTGCCGGGCGCGATGAGCAAATTCGGCAATGTACTTCTGATTCGGAGTAGTGTTTTCGTATACGTTCAAGAATTTGATTGCTTCTAGCCATCCGAGAACAACCCATTGCATGTCGTCGTACTTTTCATTCATCACGGCGGCCGTATTCTCTCCATTATAGAAATTCAGAAGTTGTGAGTAGTATTGGTTGACGATGGCAGTGGTGTTTGCTCCTCCGTATCTTGCAATGGAATCGAGAGCCGCCCATTCAATTTGATTGAACACAGCTTCAGTCCAATCAATCCCTAAAGGCCAGTTGCTCCCTCCCCAGAATTCTGACTGCATTATTTCCAGAGCGTTGACCATAGCTGGAAATGATTGTTGGGAGTTTCCAAGTTGTCGGGGATTAAGCATGGAATGGTCATTTCTTCTACCACTGGGAGCTTCCAGATCGGCCATAGCCGGTATTGCAAGTGCTCGTGGCGCTAGGAGAATATAGGGAAGTCGTGAACTTGTGGAGAACCGCATCTTAAAAAGATTTATTTCTGGAATTTCGAAAACCGAAAATTTGACCGGACTTTTAAAAGCAAGCAGGACTTGTGAGTAAAGAGCCTCAAATAATTCTTGGGACGTTTCTCCAGTCTCTACTTGTATTCCTGGAAGTGCATCAGCCAAATACGAAGTACAAGCGTCTTGTCAAGACGAACTTCGGGAGTTTCTCGAAATAGCCCGAATTGTTTATTCTCTTTCAATGGTAGTGGTGGCAACGTAGTATTTTTGCAAGAAGCACATCAGTTGAATACCAAGGAAGGTGTTTGGTCAGGAGATAAGCTCTAAGTGATCAAGATCCTCACCCAAATTACGGTCCACTAATGCACTACTAGGACTCTTCTAATAGTACGTTGATCCAGCCACCAACAAATAGAATTGAAGAACACGACTTGCAATTTTACCTAGAACTCGCAGATCATCCAATCAACGTACCAGATCGTCAGTGATCGGCGTACTTCCCCTTTCTTTAGCAAGGTATCTGCATGCTGGAGTCTCATTCTGTTCACCTTTCTTTGCAGGTATCAATGTTCCATTGTGCTCTCCCTATCAAGGTTAGAGTTCTATAGTAAAAACTCGATATAACGATATTAATTTTAGCACCTTTTTCTAACAATATGCCGAGGTATCATTAAAGTAAGGATCACGTGCACATATAATAAATAAGGAAGACCTAAAGATATATAAAGAACCTCTTTATCCTAATATCTCACTACTTATAAAATACTTCCTAAAAGCTTTAAATAAGCCTGCTTTGCTTTTCTCACTTTTCTTTAAAAAAAAATATAGCTTTTAAAGCATTAAGCTTACATATAACCTTCTTTTATTTATTCTTTTATTACTTCTTATAAAGATTTACTAAATTAAATACAGCTATTACTTTAACTAGCTTTACTTTCCTAATCTCTTTTTCTTACTCTTTCTTTTTTATATAAAACTAAATGTTCCCTAAATCTCTCTAAATATATTTATTTATAATTATTTTTAAAGTTATACTTTTTTCTTTTATAATTGCCTTATTAATTAGTATAATAAATTAACTAATAAAAAGAGAGTTATTAAATTAGGTAATACTTTAAATAGCTAATTAAAGAACTCTAATTATTTCCTTATTTTTTACTTATTTCTTATTTAGTTTATTATAAATATTAAAATCTTTAATAAAAAGAGATTTTATAATAAGACTTAATTTATATTAGTAATTAGTAATTATAAAAGCTTTAATATAATTATTTCGAGTATATATTACTTAATTAATTATATATAAAAAAATTATTTTATTAAAATAACTATTTTACTTATATATAAAAGAAAGCTTATTTTCTATTAATAAGATTAATATTATATTTTAAGAAATTATTTATGAAAAGAAAAATATATTAGCCTTAAATAAAATACTTATAATTAAACTAATAAAGATATTTTATATAAATAATACTAGTTATTTACTTGAAATTATTATATTAATATTATATATTTAAAAGTTAATAATTAATATATTTAAAGTATTAAGAGTTTTTACTTTTGTTTTTAATTAATTAAGGCTTTTGCTTATTACTATTTATAATATTAATTATAAGAATAAAATTAATTTGCTTTTTATTCTTTTTGCTTTTATTACTAGTTTTAATTACTAATATATAATTTAGTAATATCTTTTAATATTAACTAATCTTATTTATATTTAAGATATTTTCCAAAAAATATAATTACTAGATTTTAATTCTCTTATATTTGCTTAATATTTATTATATTACCTTTATTATAGTAAATATATTTCTTAATATAAAAGTAATTTTTAAAGTTAGTTAATTAATTATTAGATTATTTAGACTCTAGTTACTTATAATATTTAAAAAGAAAATATTAGATTTTATATATCTTTTATTTAAAAGTATTATTTATAATTATTGCTTTTTATTATTATATTTTCTATTATTATTTAAAGAATACTAATTCAAGATTAGGCTAATTAAATTAGCTTAAATATTAACTTATAAGGCTTATATCTTTTTATATATTAGTATTAAAATAATTAAATTAAGTATTAAAACTAAAAGAAATAGTAAATTAGTTAATTTTATAATAAAACTCTTTTTGAAATTACTTAATAAAATTATTATATATAGCTTTAGAACAGATTTACTTATATTTTTATAATACTTGGTAATTAGCTTTTATTATATTTCTTTGTCTTTTTTGGGCTATTTAGAGGCTAGAGAACCAGAGATAAAATTAAGGGGCTATAATTCGGCGAGATTAATAGCCTGAGAGATACTAAAGGGCCTTAAAGTATTAATAAATTAATTCATTTTTAGGCTAAAATAAAATAATATATTACCAAAAATTAAGGGTTAGAACCGAAAAACCTTATAATAATCGTAATGCCAGTAATATCGTAAGCCTAAGGCTAAAAAAGTGCAGGATCTTATAGCCGTACTGTATTACTAAGGATATTGCTATATTAGGGCTTGCAATAGCAAGGTTCTGCTATATTCAAAATATCCTATTAATATCATGGATCAACCCTGACCCCTCACCTCAGCCACGATTAAATGACAGCACGGAATCCTTACCTCTTGCAGAAATTCAATAAACACCATCCAATGCTGACGGGATAAAAGAAGTCGAGCTTTCGCGTTATTTCCGGCCGATGTGATCGTTGTCTTAGCTCAGGCACTGGTACGAACTTACTTCTGCCTTGTGAGGAATACGGAGCCCTCGCTACCCTTCCTCTGCCGAGGGCCTGTAAGGTGCTAGAACTACCCCTGAACGACTCGCCAAAAGAAACCTATTCTTGCACGCCTGAGGCACAATAAAAAAAAGGATTAGAATGAAGCCCCAGCGGATTCGCGCTTCCATGGAGTTCTTGGATTTTTTGCGAAGGGCCTCTTGTGGCAGGAAAAGGATTCGAGGGTGGAAAGAGCAGGCGAGAACTGCTGCGCTTTGGATGTGAGGAGAGCTTCGGGGGACTGATGTGCTCGAATCTGGTCCAAATCATGTGGAGGCATCAAGCAGAGAGCCGTTAAATAATTGATTCTCTCCAGCCAAAATATAATTCGAGACTTTATATATGTTGTCTATGCTCTTTGGCTTCCTTATTAAGGTTTATTAATAAAACGTCAAGAGTTCTTGGATGAGTGATGTGAGCAGCACGTCGTGCGCGCATGGCTGTGTCTTTATCAAACCGGATAATGAATGAGCTCTAGAGTATACAAATCTCAAGTGCAGGATAGAGCAGGATAGGTCAGGATTGGCTAACCTCCCAGTTCTCGAAAGAGGATCTAACTTGGCCCCCTCGCTGTCAACTGCCCTATAACCACTCTATATAGTAGTCACCCAAGCACAATATCGGTAAGTTCACTGCACACCCAGGCCCCTTGGATCATTCTTCCCAGAGCCTTGCGATAGCAAGTGCCTCCGGAGCGCTCAATCCAGAGGACGTTGAAGAAATTGTATGTTTCGTCCTCTTCGACGTCTTCCCACTCGTCCCCACCGCTTTCCTCTTCCTCACTTCCTTCTACTAATACGGGCGTGCCTTCCCCCCGAGATACGGAGTCATGCCACTGCTTCAACGCCCACTCGTCCCTCTTCCATAGATAGCTATGTTGCCCTTCTCCGATCCTTGCCGTACCTGCCGATATTGTGATGAGCTCGCATTCCTCTCCGATTGGGGCTTCATTCACGTATTCAAGGTTGAGTCTCAGGGCACCAACTGCTCTGTTTGCGGCATCCAAAATGCTCACGTTGAAGGCAAAAGGGTCTCGGCCAAAGCGTTCCTGCTCTGCGAATCTGTCTTCTAGTATGCCGCCGATCTTGAAGCAGGATCGCATGGCTGTTAATGAGAGGAAGCACAGATCCTTGGCTGGAGAAGGTGTATGCGAGTCCTCGAGAAGGGGCACTGGGTATCTGAAGTATTGGTCGGGAACTTTGTCGTGCGTGTAATGAGTGGCGCGATTATTCTGATGTTCTGTCCATCCAGCATAAGGCGCAGCTTTTGAGCGGTGGACTGCATACGAGTTTGGAATAGCGTGGTGCTCTGGGTAGTCTGGTGATTTCAGAGCCTTCCACTGAACTAGAGGCTCGATTGTGATCTCCGGTAAAGGGTAGCGTTCGTTGTATGGCAAGGCACTACTAGCACCCCATAACTGAGTTTCGATCTCTCCTTTCCAGCCTACCCACGACCAACTGGGGAGATGGTTGGACCTGCCGTTGCTTTCCAAGAAATCGGAGTTAGCATACTTCTTCCGGGTATTTTCGGAGTAGAATGTTCTTGCAGCTTTCGGGCAGCGCGAGTAGAGCGTCCCAAGAGCTCCTGGGACACCGCTTCCGAGGGACCGATACTCCGAGAAATTGAAACTTACATCCGTCTGATCAGCCTTCTCTCCGGCTGCCACAACATTGCAATGTCAAAGAAGAACTGCGGCATGCCGAGCAGGAATCCGCCAGGAAAGGAAGGTCTTCCAGCGGTTTCTATTCCAGCAAAGGCATCGATGACGTCCTTATCGAACGTCAAGTCGCGCTTGTTGAACTGCGAGACCAAACTACCCCAAACTTGCAGATCGGGCCAGAGGGGGAGTCGGCCATACAGGCCGACACGGTCTGTGAGAAGGAAGCTACTGCTTCCCTGCAAATCGAGCTCCCGGTCGGTGTCCTCGGACCATTCTCCCTCGCAGCATACCCACGAGACGAACCCATCAAAGAGAATTAACCGTCTCGAGAAGAGAGATTCTTGCAGGGTCCAGCCTCGGGAATTCCAGATTGAGTCTAGCCTAAAGCCAGCTCTTGGCTTATTCAATACGAGAGATCCAGACGGGAGACGGATTTTGTGGATGGGCAGATCGCGCTTGCTCGCTCCAACGCCGCGTAGGCCGTGGTCAGCATTCGGTCCTTCGGCGGCGACTAGAGTGAAATAGCTATTGGCGTAGATAAAGGCCATGCTGTCGAGGTGCAGCTGCTTTGTGTTGTAGTCATCTTGGATGATGCAGAGCGAGTCGACCCAGAGATATCTCTCCCCGATTTCAATCGTAAAAGTCATCGCGTCTGCAATCGTCCGGGGGATCTTGAACGAGGTCGTGCTAGGAGATATAGCACCCGGAGTCTTGAGGACTGATATGTTGTGCTTGAGGGCTCGGGCGGCTGCGGTTTGACCCCAACAATAGCTGAGAGCAACATACCTGGCCTCCGGAGGCGCGGAGACAACACACCAGTCGACGACGTCGATGAGCAGGATCGAGTCCAGGCCTGGGAGCGGGACTTTCTTGGCTGGGCAACACGCCTCCCCATGCAAAGTCTCACACCTTTCAACCCATCGTTGAACCAGCTTGAGATCGAAGTAGGCCGGGTCGAAAGGTGTCGCATGCTCGAGCGTTTCCGATTTTGGCTCAGTCGGTAGAAGGAAGAGATAATCTGTCTCCAAGCCCCCCCTCATGTTCCGGGGTACCTTGTACTTGAGCATGATGTCTGTATCGTCGATCACCAGTCGAAACTTGTTAACGGGGCTGTATGGGTCGTTGAATGCTGGGAGGGAGGCCGCGATGTCCAGGCAGCAAGCGCAGGTGTGTGAGAGTTCGTCCAGGGTGCCGAGGGTGTATTTCAGTTTTTGCCAGTCATCGATGGCTCCATTTCTGTGGTGCTCGTAGTACAGGTCAAGTGCTGCGTCCACCTCTTTGCAGCCGTTGCAGAGGTTGAGCCGTTGCTCGCTGGGGGCATTTATCTCAGCCATGCTGGAGACAGCCACGATAGAGGTGAAATCTTGTGGTGGAGCGGCGCGGTACTTTTCTCACGGCGATGAATAGACATTGAGAAGTGGCAGTATTTAGAATATTCATCGCTGTGTTGTGAAGCACTGGATGTGTTCACTGAAGCTTGAACGATATTGGGAACAGGCGGTGATCGCCGTAACCTGAACACATCCCGCCTCCTGGTGGGCAGAAAAAGCGGCACTCATTTCAATGTCCCAGGTCAAACTTGGACTTTCATTTAGACTCTAGAGGGAGAAGAACTCATATTCTAGAATATCCAAGAATATCCGAATGGAGTAGACTTTTACTATACAACATCGCATGTGTATACTTAGTAAGGAAGTATTTGCATTGTCCAGCTTGACTTGGGAAATTGAAAATTAGTGCCGCTTTTCAGGCCAGTGTTGTTTAGTCATCCAGGCCTCTCGATTAAGGGTAAAACAAACCCAATGGGATGTGCTGAACAACGCCAACCGATTGTCTGGGCTGTCGCCAGACGCCTCCTTAAGGCCAGCGGGCGTCAGATGTAATCTCCACCGTAAGATATTTCGAAACTTAAGGATATGAGCCTGACAAGAAATCCCGCGTAAGTCGTTTTAACTTCCAAGAGAGGAAGACGATCCTGAATTCAGAACATAAGAGCTTGACACGCCACATAGAGGAAGTAAAATTACATTGCATTCTCTGATTGCTTGCTTTTACAGTTAGGAGTCCTTGTTATATTAAGCAAGGCCAATCAGCAAGGTCAGGTGCAAGGGCGTTGGGGTGTCTCAGACAGGCCATGTGGCCGAGTTTTGTCTTCGACGAACCAAGGAGGGGATTGGGGCGCCATTGTCCAAGCGCAAGCGGGAGAATTTAGATTACGAAGGCGGCGGGCATTAAAATCCGTCTAACTCGCTAAGCGAGAATTTGGGAAGTCTAGGGGCTACGCGGTTATAAATGTCTCGCAATTTCTCCCCAAATTTAATCGTTATAAAATTCCGGGAAAAGATTAACGTACTATTTTTCTATTATATAAAACTCTTATAGAAAGTTTTAGGCGTTGCGTTGTGGATTAGTGCGACTTTCCGCACAAGGCAATTTTGGTATTCTCGCGCGCACTCTGCAAATGGACGATTTTCAATGCCTGCCGCCTTCGTACTTATAACCAGACAGCCCCGCGCTCCGGACCAGGCCAGCATCGAGCTACTTCAAAAGCAGAATTGGAGTAGTTCCTCGATACGCTCTGCTGGGAGAAACATGATAGCTGAGGAGACCTCTTTGGCTGTTCATCGCTAAAAGCTGAAAATAACGAAAAGGCTCTTGATTCTTGTGTAACTGCGATTTACGGATTTATTGGCGCTTTCTTTCCTCTCGAGGTTGCAGTGATTTCTCTGTGCGTCTACACTCGATTAAGATTCAGCGGTCTTGGCAAGGGGGCATTGCAGTTTGTGTCTGCTTTGTATGTTGTTTATTCTTTCTACATATGTTTCCAGCTCTGATAACATACAGGTATTGTGTACAGCTTGGTGATTGCTACCGTCTATGGTAAGCCACTCAATATAGCAACAATGTGATCCAACCTAACAAGAAAGCGATTAAATATGGTCTTGGCTTCCATATCTGGGATATATTGTTCCAGCGAATGTAGTCAGCATGCAGAAAGCAAGTCACAAGTTCTCCGGGTTTCTCGGAATGGCTAAAATGGTATTCAACAGAGCGGATTCAATTCCCAGGTCCTCTGTCCTTCAGATTTAGGCGCAGTGAAACTGACAATAGTCTTGTCCCTTATTAGAATCCTTCCAATATTTCATCAGTGGATCACACCTCTGTAATGTTTCGTTGCATGGATCGCAAGGGAAGAGACTGCCTTCACCATAACACTACTCTTCCAGTGCCGCCCAATCGATTATTATTTGGATAAGATTGCTCAAGGTTCCTGTTTTAATCGGCCGGCATTCTCATTTCGCTGATGTGTTCTTCAACATGGCAATAAATCTTTGCATGCTGGCGCTGCCCTGGATCATCCTCCGCAGTACAGTATTTCCATGTTTGAAAGCTCAGATATACTAACCATGAAGCAGACCTCGAGGTCTCGAGAGCACGGATATAGGGAGTTTGCTTGCTTTGCTCAATTGGTGTCTTGCGTATTGCTCCCATTATTTTGACTGCAGCTGATTTAGGTGTCTCGCCAGCACCTTAGTAGCCAGCGCCCTTAGCTTGTCATACCTTCGCCGCCTAAATATATCAGAAGATCCGGCTTGTTAGTAACTAACCTATTTCTCGCATTGCCCAGCTAGGTTAATGATTCTGGCAGGGCAGATTGTTTACGTCTGCATCTGGTCTATAAGCTGAGCTCAGCTCCGCCATAAATCTCACCTGCGTCCCCGCAGTCATGCCGCCTGTCAAACATTTCTTCCCCATGTTTAGGTCACATAATGCCGGCATGATTATCCATTGGATACCAGAAACACATGGCCAAGCACAAGATATTGTTTCCAGTAAGGCCGCTGCTCTTGTGAAGGACAACTTTACCACCTGTCTAGAATTCCGGAATGCTGATCGCTCCAGACGTAACTGAGAGTTGCATAGTCTATTGCCCCCAGTATGGACGGGGCAATCCCCATTGAGATATAGTCTATGACACGCATGCCAAGAACAAACCATCGATAGAGCGATACGCAATTCTCTGACCGGCCATGTGAAGAGTTGAAGTTTAGACGTTTCTTTGTTCCTTAGCTTATATAAACAATGCTTCTCCCACCATTAGCTAGTCCTGAATTAAGCTATACCACTGAGTTTCAACATGAAGTTCACCGTAAACATCCAGCCTTTTGCGAATGACAGAGACATCGATTTGATCTGCTTTTGTATGCCTGCCTGATATACCAGTGTTATCGTGGATGGGAAGGATCACTCGGGAGGTCCTCTTTGAAGGTGGACTGCCGTTCCATATTTCCAGGCGGTTATCCTTTTGGCACCGAATGCTAGAGCTACGCGTCCCCTTTTCAGCCAACATTTGCTGAGACTATTGGCATTATTGAAACCGATGCCCTTGTCCGTAGAGCAGCAATCGCGAAGAAACGTGCAGAAAGGGCAGTGCGCACTAGCAATATGCCGTATATGAATATATTTTCAACGCTCCCTACGTGTGTCAAGTGACCGTGGCTCAGAACCTCTTCAAAATCGATTTTCTGGCAGATCTCGCAAAGATTGTTGTCTCGAGGCGGGGCTCCGCACTGGGGCTAGCCAAAAATGGATGCTCGGGAGAGCCCTACAGCAGCCCCTAAATTCTGGAGTTTTGTTTAGGCGTTAAAGAGACGTAAATCGTGTTCCAATTCCTTCAATACAATAAATTGAAAGAAAAGCCAATCGCAAAAACAGTTCAAAGAAGCAAGGTAGAAGCCCCGTCAAGATGCACTGGCATCATCTTTCACATTCCTCGACAAGCAGACTGTGGTAGCCTGTGAAACCCGGAGACTGCAGCAGCGAACTTAGAAAGGATAATACAAAGGCCCCTCCCTAAGCGGTTAAGCTGCCTCGTCAACTTGGAAGCCTTTGTCCAGGCTGAGAGGGATCTGGGGTGCCACTCTGTGTCCTTCAATCTCTCTCAAGTCCTTGTCTGAAGGCGCTGAGTCAAGATGCGCAATCATCATAAAGGCTCGGTGTCATGACCAAGAATCTGAATGGCAATGGCTCTTCACCTGAGTTACGATTGTGAGGGGAGAGATAGGTGTTGAAGACGAGCCACGTAGATATGGAGTGGAATCTCGCATCACGTGCCATCTCACCGCCAAAATTCTGCCGGATCGACTCAAGTAAGCAAAAAGTTGGAAAGTTCTGAAATTCGAGTGCGTAGAAACAACACATTTGACCATTGGGATCGAAACCGCCGATAACACTCTTCCCCTCGTCAATTATTGAAGAGATCAAAGTGCGATCACCATGTCTTCAGATGAGATCGTCTGGCAGGTCATCAACCAGCAATTCTGCTCGTTCAAGCTCAAGTTCGTCCCTTCCTCCAGCCTCGGGAGCAAAATTCTAACCTCTACAGGACTACAAAAGAGAAGAACTTCTGCCGCAACGAATACAATGTCACCGGTCTCTGCAATCGGCAATCATGTCCTCTCGCCAACTCCCGCTACGCAACCGTCCGCGCACACCCCGGCTCTGGCACCTTGTATCTCTACATGAAGACCATCGAGCGCGCACACATGCCTTCCAAGCTCTGGGAACGCATCAAGCTATCACAAAACTACGCACAGGCGCTAGAACAAGTTGACGAGCGATTGATCTACTGGCCGAAATTCTTGGTTCATAAGTGCAAGCAGAGACTTACAAGGTTGACGCAGGTTGGGATTAGGATGCGGCGGTTGGCGAAGGAGGATGAGCGGTTGGGGGAGAAGCTGGTACCGAAGTTGGCGCCAAAGGTGAGGAGGAGGGAGGAGACCAGGGAGAGGAAGGCGGAGGCCGCGGCAAAGGTGGAGAGAGCTATTGAAAGGGAACTCATTGAGCGACTGAGGAGTGGTGCGTATGGTGATCAGCCGCTTAATGTTAGTGAGGCGATTTGGAAGAAGGTGCTTAAGGGTCTCGAGAGAGGAGGTGAGGGCACTAGGGATGAGGATTTGGACGAAGGGATTGAGGAGGAAGAGTTGGAGGAGGAAAATGAAGAAGAGTTTGAGGACGAAGAGGGTGTTGGTGATGTGGAGTATGTCAGTGATTTGGGTGAGGATGAGGAGGATCTTGGCGATCTTGAGGATTGGCTGGGCAGCGAGGAAGATGCCGAGACTGGTGATGAGGACGAGGAAGACAGCGAGGAGGATAGCAGCGAAAAGGACGAGAAGGCTGGCGCAAAGAGGAAGAAGGGCCCAGTGTCGAAAGCCAAGCCGAAAAAGAAATTCCCAAGGATGGAGATCGAGTACGAGGAGGAAGTGGAGGCTCCACAACGGGAGCTTGCATTGGCTTGAGCTGGGTATTTCATGCATGGTGTTTGGGAAACGAAACGTGGTCACGGTGGGGTATTTTGTAGACGACTGGCACCAGGCGCTGTAGATTTGCCCAGATATTGATGATAAATTGAACAGTCGAAGAAGTACTGTAGCACTATCATTTGCATTGGATATCCTGTTGGCGTGACTGTATGTACGAACTTATGAATATTCCGGCCAGGCCCCTCAATGCCTTGGTGGCGGGGTCGGACCTTTACCAACCTTGGTCGCGAAACATGTTTCAACCACTTCAACAAACGCATGAAATACCGTCTACCTCACACTTCGCAATTACAACGCCTGTAATCTACTTGATTACTGTCGCTCTATCCTACCTCACCACCTCGATCAAATAAACCACCACTCACTCTCTGCAGCAGCACAGCACGAATCGTCGCTGCGCAGGCAGCACGACCCCACAATGACCTCCTACTTCTCCTCCCTCCTCACAACCACCACCTCCCGCGTCGCCTCCATCCGACAGAACCTCCTCCCCTCCGAGAACGACGGTGACACCGAAGATGACACACACATCTGCCGCGTACTGCGAGCCTATTACACCGAAAAAGGGCGTCCCTTCCCCGCGTGGCTGCCTCCCGACCCAAAGGCACCCCCTCCAGTCGTCGTAGCACCCGTCTACGCACAACCAAACGTCGGCGCACGCTACGGAGGGCTACAAAATCAACCAGGAGGAGCTGGAGGCGGGGCGTTGAGTAGTCTATGGGACTCTCAGCCAGCGCAGCAGCAGCAGCAGCAGGATCAGGCGAGCTTGAGGCAAGGACGGGGATCGCGATTAGGTGCTACGGCTGGAGGACCGAGACAGAACCCCTTTCAGAGACAGGCGCCAGCGCAGGAAGCGCAGGTGCAACCTAGGCCGTTGCCAAGTGCGAGGGCGGGGAGTTATCAGCAGAGTGCTGGGGGGTATGGCAGAGGCGATGTTCAGACTCCGCCTGGGAGCTCGGCGGGCATATCTGCGAAGGATAGGTTGAAGGGGGCTTATAATAGGGGGAGGGCGGGATCGCCAGCTAACTCTGCGTCAGAACCTCCACCGGTACAGAGGGGTAATAGTTACGGTTCATCGGGAGGTGGAAGTAGCAGCAACTATGAGGATAGGTTTATGCCGACTGGAAATGGATATGGCGGAGGAGGCGGGAGTGACAAGCCGTTTGTTGCTGCTACCGCTCCTTGGGCTACCAATGAGTCTGAGTTCAGCGGAGGATATGGTGGAGGGGGAGGACGACCCAGACCAACTGGCTTGCCCAGTGGTCCTGCTGCTGGCAAGAGGAGATGAGGTTAGAGTCGTTGGAGATTGATCTTGTCTTGGACTTGGATTGCCGTGGACATGTTAGGCAGGACATGGCATAGGATGGAGTTGTGGAGAGCATGCATTGAGTTCTAGGTGTCCTTAGTTAGAGCATGCATACAATGGGTCTATCATTGCTCGTCTAGAAAGCTTATAACAGTCAATTGGACCATAGTACAAGTTCATGCTCATATCGCCATTTAAACTGCAAACTTGTTGAACATCCGCATTAGATCTAGGATACTGGACACCGCCCAGATGCAAACGGTATCTTTACCGCGAACGTCAGTCCTACATTTTCTCTCGACACCGTAGTTTCACACCACAGCTACGCAGATAAGATGGGAAGCTGCTCTGAGTGCAGTCAGAAAATATAGAATGTTGAGGTCTTCTGTACCATCAATAATTAATCTAGACCTGCTGGGCAGGTCAAACGAAAGTTGAATGTCCGTGTTCGGCCTAGCGCATCGCTTCCGAAAATCGGCGTCCCTGCAGAAGGCAATTTGACTTTCAGCTTGACTTCACTTCATCAACGACACACATCAGCTCGAGAGTTACTCTCTTCCCTTACAAAGCTGGGGGTAGTGAAACCGACTCAGAGATCACGACAACACCCACAATGTTCGATGAAGAGACACGTATGAGCCTCAGTGGCTGTTCCACGGCTGCTCGGGTCGGAATACGAGCTTCGGTCACGCTAATGCCTCGGAGCTTGTAGTTGCTTGAAGTTGTTGGAAGCATCAGAGCACCGCGCATTTACGGTTTTGCCTCCCCTCTCAAGTGTGGTTAGTCCAGTTTCCAAGTGGATATCGTAACCTGAAAATAGTTCCGAAGGACCTGAAGTGCGGGCCGTGGCTATTCATAGCGAGACGAATTGTGCAAGTTTTATTCCGGTTCATTGGTATGCGATATACAAGAGGCAGCGAAGCGGGCATGGATACTAGTTGGTACTCTTGGTCGAGTTGCGCACGCGCAGATCTGAGATCGAATCGAAAGGCGATGACGCTGAAGTTCCTAGGAAGTCGTCCGAAGGTCTTGGGGATATGAGGCATTTTCCATCGCAAGTGGTATCCTATCGGCGAGTTGAAGAGCGGTCAAATGCTTTGGTTCGTCTGTTTACTTGCGTCCAAGGCGACTGGTGGTCGGGATCAGGACAGCGGCAATTTCTCTTGACAGTCTCTCTAGCACACCATTCTCAGGCTACCCTGCCACGTCACTTTCCTCGGGACACATTCGTCGGGTATCGATGCTGCAACAGGTGTTTTTTCTCGATGCTGTGCTTGTCTTCCCTTGATTTTGGCATGTCCCCCCTTGCAGGTTTGCATCTGTCAAGTTTGGGTTTTGGGCGATGGCATTTCGAGCAGGGACATCCTGGCTCGTGGCCGTTGCTCAGCGGCCGCAAAAGAAAGTTTCAAACACCGTTTCTTCAGCTCAACGCGACAGCGGTGAAGCGCTCTCCACACCTTGCGAAGAGTATATGGCCACCTCGCCAAAATATCAAGCCTTCTAATCTGGGGGCTGACGCCTCGGAAACGTTGACGAATAAAAGAATCTTGGCGGAAAAAGAAACAAAGTTGTGCGGTCACCGAGGTGGTGGCGCCATATGAGATGTCGTGGAGGAATTTCGGTGTCGGGGCCCTACATAGAACAAGTTATGCCGCGTTACACAAGGCAATTCAAGAGCCAATCGCGAGTTTTTGAAAGGCAATGTTTGAAGTTATCTCCCATCGCTGTTTGTACGTAAAAGTCGGAAAGATTAAGCAAGCACAACAAGTGCAGGAAGTTGCATCAGGCCCAAATGTGGTGTTGGAGCCCGCAGACTACTGCAAGCCCGACCAGTTGTGACAGGATGATTGTACCGGCCCCTCCTGAGCACGTGGAGACCCGCCTATGAACGTTGTCCACACAGCTTGCTCTTGTTGCCCCCACTTATGCAGATACCCAATGGCACGCGGTCGTTGTTCCAGGACCGTGTTTTCCCCCTACCTTCGGAGGATATCATGTATCACCCCTCCCCCCGCTTTGCGTGTGTCAAGTCTGGCGCCTCTTTGCGCTCCTCGATGTTTCCGGAAGGAATACTGTCTTCGCCCTAAGCTATAGCATAGCTTCCAGAGATGAAAGCCTTCAGCATACCACCTCATCCTCCCGCACTCTCGATCACCAAGACATGCATTTACAAGACTATAGATAGGATCGCCATTCCTATTGACATCTATGTACCGACTGAGCACGATGTCGCCATTCCTCCGGTCATGCTGTTCATCCACGGGGGCGGATGGAGTGGAGGGAACAGGACGGACTACTCCCGACCGCTCTTTTATCATTTCCTGTCACTGGGGTTCATAGTGACCTCTATGGATTATCGCCTCCTTCCAGAAACAAAGCTTGAAGGTCAGATGGATGATGTCCGTGATGTGGAGGGTTGGCTGAGGAAGAGCTTAGCGCGAGAGGTCAGAGACTACTTCTCCGGCGTCCAAGGCGATAAGATCATTGTCGTTGGAGCTTCAGCTGGAGCCCACCTTGCCCTTTTGACTGTGAGTTCTAAAGTACATTGGCAACATGACAGCAGCTGACATCAACTATAAGCCAAAGCTTTGGACCATACAACCAACGGCCATCTTGTCCCTGTACGGCCCGACCAACATGAACGGACTCCCGTCTCTTCATAGTGACCGTCTCTCGAAGCTCTTTCTACCTCCTTGCACATCTGAACTTCTTACTGCTGGAACGTACTTCGACCACCAACCAACCGAGTTTCCGGTTGTTCAAAAGCCGGAAGATTACAAACGTCCCAGAACTGTTATGGTTCTCACAATTTTCCGCAAAGCCCTCATCCGCGAGTACCTGCTTCGAGGGCTGACCAGAGGCGATGACGGAAAGCTGAGACTCCCCGAGCGAGGGTCAATAACTAAGGAAGAAATCGACGAAATCAGTGCGATTCCCACTTTCCCTTCCCCCTCTCTTCCCGATCCCAGCCCCCCCTAACACACATGATAGGTCCCCTCGAGCTCAGCAAAATGCATAAATACCCGCCAACCTACCAAATAATGGGCGCAAACGACGACGTCTTCGAGCTCTCCCATGCCGTCAAATTCCACTCTGCGCTCGGAACCAGCGGCTCGCATCGGCAGACTATGATCCTGTTCGAAGCAGGTCATGCTTTCGATATCTGGGAGGACATTGGAGGTGAGGTGCACGAGAAGGTTATTGCGCCTGCTGTCGAGTGGGTTGCGGGGTTCGCGGGGGTGGAATCTAGGCCGCAGAGGAGTGCGAGATGGGGAGGAAGAGGGGACATTGGGAAATTGGGGTTTTTGCTTGAGAAGTGATGTGCAAGTTTAGTGCGTTTGAAGGGTTAGAGTGGGGAAAGGCGGCTTTTTGAGATTTTGCAAGCTTGGGTAGAGTAGAGGTGGGCGGCTTATTTGTGCTTTTTGCGTGGGTGGTCAGACTGTTTTTTGCGTTAGAGGTGGTGTGGCTGTCTGTTTTATGCTTACTTGTTCTGTTACGGCTGTTCATGAGAGTGGTTTTGTGTTTGCATTTGGGCCTGTGATATGAGGTAAGAAAGATTGAGGAATACTTATGAGTCACGGCAGCTGGGTACGAGTAAGATTCGGGTGCAGTATCTTCTGCAAAGTTCCGCCTATATAACATGGAGTGTTCAGTTGTGATTTAAATTATTTCGGATCCTCTTATGATAACCCAAGTGGCATGATTAAGCTCAGTACCTCTATCGCAACCTTTTCTTTACATCAACAACTTGCAAGCTGTTGGAGATCATCACCCCGTTGCTTGGTGATAATTTGATCAAGTGTCCGAGTTCTTCGCAGATATTTCGAGTGGTAAGCACCGCTCCATTCGTCGACTTCGCCGTCAAAGCTATCCTGGAACTATCTTTGCTTGTGTAGGACATCATCTTACCTTCTCGCCTCCATCAGGATCTTGACAGCAACGAATTCTCCGTGCAAGTACGGGAATTTGGTAATACATCGCTTAATGCTCTTCGTGAATTCTGAACCTAATATGGTACTCCTGTACCTTCTTCGCCTCTTCGATGACATCATCTCGACCCAATAACCCTCTCCCACAATTCCAAGTCCAAAGATGGAGGTCATTACTTTGGATGATCCAGACAACGGCGAATCTCTTTACAGGCTCTGGGGTGCTTCTGAAGACAGCAGTGACGCCGACGGTGAGTCTTCTGAGACAGATCGACTTTAGTTCAAAGGAGAGGGTAATCTCATGAAGGAGGAAGATATTGTGTGGAATTTCCCCGTCTTCTTCTTGAATTTGTCGTGTCTTTTTGGCGGGCTTTGGTGAATAGTTTTCGCCAATTAGCTTTTTACACTTAAGTAAATTATTTAACATGTGATTCTAATTTCAAGTTTCAATCGTGGATGAGATGTAGATATAAACAGCTCCTCCTGCCCACAACAGCACCAGCCTTCTCCCACTTACACGTGTCCAACCTACTTCTACCTCAACATCTTCTTTGACCCCTACGCATTACAGAGTCGAGACACGAACTTAAGTCAAGTGAACGTCCTCCCAAAATCTCACAAGCTTTGTTTGTTGGCATCAACTTTGGTGACCAACCTGCAAGCTAACAATCTTACTTCGTATAGTGCTTTAGCTTTGGAGGACAACATCTCATCACAACGACATACTCACACAGACTAATTGCGAAGATGAAGGTAATCCAGAACAGTCCAGACGGTGATAGTCTCCCTCTTTATCTACCACCGCTTCGTGAGTCAAAGACGAGCATGATCCGAAACGGCAGTCCAGATGAAGAGAAACTCATTGAAAATCAGAATTCTTCTCCCCGTGGCCAACACAGTGAGCTGTTTTCTAACTTCGGTTCGTCTTCCAAAGCCAACGCCACATCAGGCCATAGAATCAACACCTATGTCAAATCTAACCACGAGAGCGATTCTAAGGATGGCAGTGGCACCGGCTATGATGAATCCACGGGCTCTGACAGAACAGATGACGAAAACGAAGCCACAAATTATCGCACTGTTTCCAAAATTACCGATTGAGCTCGTGACAAGATCTGGAAGAACGCTTGCTACATCCCCAAAAGCAATCAGCTTATGGCCTTGCCTCCTCGGCACTTGTATCTACATCGGAGGCCCCACGATTTAGAAGATTTGGTTCTATCCTACGCCTTACATAATCCGAGAGAAGAAGAGTGTCTCGAGTATGGTGCGGAAGAATGGAGTCAGCCCAGTGCATCTGCGAGCGAAGAAGATGGCGATGATGATGAGTAAGGCGAAGAAGACAAGGGTATCAATGGTGGAGAAGGTCGAAGACTAAATTGGTGATGATCAAGGACGAGATGGTGAACATGAATGAGAAGGTGGTCATACGTCTCTTTAGGAATGGCTGAGAGTCGCCAACTGTTGTATAATTAGACCGAGGCCATGAAAATAATAATAAAGTGTCTAAGAAGGAATGCCTGAATGAATTGGTGGTGAAGTTCTTGGGCCTCCTATTGATAAGATTGCCAAATATCCCGTTCGGGGGCCTGGGATCGCTAAAAATGTACCGGACATGGGTCTCCACGACCTAATTTAGTTTCCGAATCCTCCTGTCAGCGTCATCACTTCAAAAGTTGTCCTTCTTCCACTATCTTTGCAACTGAAAGACTTACCGTCCTGTGCTATTCGATGATTGGCAATCTGGTCGCGTACGCCAAAGGGCAAATCGCTCGAAAAGCGCCTCGTTCTAGAAACTCGAACTGCTCCAGACCCTGGCTGAAGTAACTTCATGAGATCATCAACGACTTGATGTACGATGGCCACGAACCTGATAAGTGCATATTCATTCTTTATTTCTTTTCTGTGTCTTAGGCGGATATTGTGTACCCCTTGTTTCACCAAAATGAAGCTGCTTCATTCCTCGCTGTAGCCGGCTTCTCCGGCCTGACAACTGCCCAGAACTTGACGACCTTCAACCCCACGCTCAACAGAACTTTCTGCACGCCGGGCCTTGAAATGTTCGAATCGACACCGGCACATACAGCCCTCCGGTCGAAGAGTTCTAGTATTACTACGATCAATGGCCGATCGGCCTCGCCGTCTCGAAACAAGGACGAGTCTTCGCGTGCTACACTCAAGAAAGATACGCCTACAGTCTGGGAGAAATTGTGAACCAGGCAGCAGAATATTCATACCCATATCTGGAGCTGAACACACCTTGAGGAGATTTTTCAATGTCACAACCGGCATCCAGTTCGCAAGCAACGACCGCAGCACCTTCATATCCGTCCAAGCTCTCTACATTACTCCAGACGATAACTTGTGGATTCTTGACACCCGACGGCCCACTATCAACGAGCCGCAAGCTCCAAGTATGCCATATGCTGCTCCAGAAGGCCCGAAGCTAGTCGCGAATAATTTTTCGAACGACTCGATCATCTGAACTTGCACGCTTCCGCCCACCGTTCATTACCCCGGTTCATACGTGAACGACCTGGGTTTTGATATGCGAGCAAATGCCACAGCTTCCGGTGGAGGAATTGCATATATTGTGGATTGGAGCAATGAAGGGAGAACAGGCGGCTTCATCATGATCGGTCTTGGCACTGGGGAGAGCTGGAGGCAGCTGAGCCAACACCCGAGCACGTTGAGAACATACGCTGGTGTACCGAGCTACAGTCGAAAACCCTTCTACCTGAGACAGAAGGGGAGCCCACTGAAGTTTCAGCAGGAAGGTTTGGATGGTGCAGAACTGAGCCTTTACGGTGATGTGAGTACTGCTCGTTTTCGGCGAGACTCACGGAGCTGACAAGATGCCTAGATTATGTACTACTCCCCGCTGACCTCAAACTACCTTTTTTCCATCGAAACAGTACTTTCGTGCAAATCCGTTCTGTGATACACTATCCGCCAAGCGAGCATTTGACAACGTGAGGAATCTCGGGTAACGGGGAGGGAATGCGAATGGCTTTTCGTCCGATAGCCTATGGAATGTATACATGTGGATGCTCTCTCGGAATGCCATATACACCTACAAGTAAACTTCTTCTTTCCCCGCTTCAAGTTTTGCAGATTTGACAAACAGAAAATGCAGTGCAACGACTGTCCAAGCACAACCATACATCTGCGATCCTCGAATCATCTGGTGTGATAGTGCGAATTTTCGATTTTGATGGGTAAATTTATTTCAACATCAATCAGTTGCCATATCAGCCAGATTGGAATGACGGGGTGGATGGGAGACAATATCCGGGAGATATTGAAGAGTAGGTTGTCGAATGGTGCGAACAAGAATATGATTTTGGGGCCATCAACTTGAAGGAATGCGTTGCCAGTGCAGCTACCGGAAAGTGAACCAAAGGCAGCTGTCCAAAAGGATCATGTCAGGAGCTGGAGTGTATGATTTTTAGCATTGAGGCCAATCAGGGAAGTTAGAATTCAACTTGAGTAGAATCAAGGAAGGCCAAGGTCAAGTCTCTTGGCCGGAAAATTTTGAGCACTTGCTCCTATGGGCTCATGGTACGCCACCTCATAGAAGTGTTTGCATAGATTCATATTCCCAGAAGTCATCGGGATTGAAGTTTCGGGTCCAAAATTCATTTGCTCTTCTGCCAAGTAGCTTCTGGTAGCTCACTTCTATGCTTCCCCGAGTCCTTCGTTATCTTGGTCTCATGTCCGCTGCCTTGCCACCTCGCATAAAAGAATGCTAAGTCTCGATTGCTTCCTCGTCTGCTTCTTCATAGCCCTTCTTGACAACCATCCGCATGAGTCGAACAGTCGGCGGGACCCATCCTTCTGGAAGTTTATCAAAACCCTAAATACTCCCTTCTTGACGACGTTGAATATCTCTTTGGATCAATCTTTTCGCAGGACGAAGTCGTTCCTGATCTCCTAGCTCCAACTTTTCATCAACCTCGTTCTCAATACTGACAAACTCCAAGGATATTGACTTGTGGGCTTCGAATGGTCGGAGGGTTGTGAAAGGTTCATTATAGATCATGACTTCTTCCAGCGCCGTGCTTCCTAGCAGATCGAAGATACAGGCCGAATCGTACTTTCCCAAAGCAAGACGTCGCATCAAGGGGCTAATATCCTTCAATTCTCGAACGAGGGGGCCACTGCCACGGTATATAGTGCAGCCTTCTTCACGGAGACAAATTGGCATGGGGCAAATGACATCGTACTCCCAATGGAGGTAAATGCGAGCTGGAGTTGACATAATAACTTCACTTTGTCCAATTTTGGCGCTAAAATTCTTTCCAAATGAGAGCTTGTAATACCCAAGTCCAACCGCGCGGGCTTCCTGAGGGGTATGCCTAGCAAAGGAGTCAGTCATCATTCGATAAAGATCGTTTCGTAAAAGCAACAGAAAAGCCTTAGACAGGCAAATACGAGAGAGCCGAAAACGGGCGGGATACCGCCTCCAACACATACATGATCAGCGGTGTTTGAGAATGGCTTTTGTAAACCCATATCGTCTTGTTAAATTCCTCGATGCAAGCATCCCTAAATTCCTTCTCACCAATAGGGAATTTCCATAGATCAATGAGCCGCGTGACGAAGCAAGCGTTCTTCCAGATCTTATTGCGTAGTTCCGGAGGGAGTTTCGGAAATAGCGTAAAGACAGGACCGCTTTGCTCTTCAGTTATAGACTCATTGTCCACAACGGTGTGGGTTGATTCGGTCGCCATTGCTCTAATTGTGGCGGAAGACTCAAGAGAGCTATCTAGAGAAGAATACTTGGAGTTTGACGAGCTTGAGAATGTGGAGTTGGTCTCCATTGCTCGCAGCTATGGTGCTACTTCGAAGGAGACCGTCGAAAGGCGGCCTGGACCTGATCGCGATTATTGAGCGTCAGCTTTCCTATGTCAGGATAGCTTGGGCACTTTGGAAGGAGAACACACGAACCTGATCGCTGTTGATTCGTACTGGTGTTTTGGTGGTTGTGTTGAGAAAAAAGGGAAATTGTCAGGCAAGGTGTTTTCACGTAGTCGACAAGCGAGCAAGGCACAACTGTTGGATTCACCTTCAACCATTCGTAATGGAATCAGAATATTTAGGCCTCTCAACTATCTTTAGGTTGACAAATATGCAGTGAATCAAGGGTGCATTCAAGAATCAAGAGCCAATGCTTCAATAGCAGAATCGGAGCAGATGATGTCGGAATCAAGGCAGGTACGAAATATTGTGATACAACTTCGGGGGAAATAAAAGGAGAGCGATGCTGCTATGCTACCTGAAAGCAATTTAGATATTTGATCGTATCGGTTTTGAGGAATTGTTCTGTCTACTGCTAAGTGTCCTGTATCAGGATTGTTCTGCTTCTTTTGTGAAATATGCGAAAGGCCAGTTGCCTGTCGCAATGCATGCTTCGCCTAGTCAGAAATTGAGACTGGAAGGCTCTCCTCCCTTGCCTAGCTGCACCAAGTGTGTAACCTCCCTGAGTTTTCCTCCCAGCTGGCGTGCACTCTTCATCAAACCCTCTCTCTCGTTCAATGTCTCGATGTCTGGTCGCCGTTCCAGATCCCTCCTTCAAGTCTCCCGTACCACAAAAAGCTTGAGCTTGAGCACAGGGTCCCAGCTCTTTGGAGATTGGCTAATTCTCTTCCATGCTTTCCACTGTTCGCAGATTTTTAGAGAACTCGTCCTTGAATTCGGCTTCCGCGTTTGCAATAGTCAGATCTTTTTCTTCAATAAGAATGCCGTCCAAAACAAACCGCTGATCACTGCTGAAGCGGGGTGCAATGACATCAAAGCCACCGTGAAGAATGACCTCCTTGCAACCAAGGGCACCTGCAAGTTCCCTCATCAACAACGAAGTATCAAGGTTATGAACATCCAGAACAACACTGCCATGTTCTATTAATTGAGGTGCAGGAGGCGGAAAGGAGGCTGTGGGAAATATTGCCGATTTGGGCGTGAAGAGGCGAGTTCTCGCAATTCTTATATCTATGTCAACGGCTCTTCTTAAGGTTCACTTCTTTGAATTTTTTTTAAAAAAATATTTGAATAACATCGCAAGTGTGTTCAGTTTCTTAAGGGTCTGAGGATGCGAAAGTATATTTGTACTGCGGCGACGGAGGAAAGAATCGACTTGGAATTCTTGACTTGAGGTTGCACGAGAAGCGTATGTTATTATTTTCTTTTATTGATCTCCACGATGGCAACAATCAAGGAGTTGCAAGACAATCCTACCTGTAACTTATCCGTTAAAGTCCTGGAGGAATATGCTGCAATACATATCTGCGAATGTAGCCCTTTGCAAAAAAAAATTAGGGTCATCCGCTGAGATCTCGAGAAGCTTGATAACAATCCCTTCTCTCCCACAGCCCTGTCTAGCAACGCCAAATCTATGCTTATTTCTTGATTATGTAATTACCACGGTGTCTCTAAGCCATTTGGTTGTGCCGATTTGCCAGGTTGATCCTCCAATGCCAATGCCCCCAAACGTATCTCAACCCTGGCGAGCAATCACCCGAACCGGCTCGACACTTAGCCCGGTGCACTTCAAATCAATAGCTGTATTTTCTTCTTTCTCCTGTTGTCAACGATGCGCTTTAATGGAATTTTGGGTATCTACCTTTGCTATGACTAAGGACCGAGGTATGTTAGCAGTCTCCTTAGAATCACTCTGGAGCACAGTCTCTAAATCCGTGAGCAAAAGGTGAAGGGTTCACCCTTTGCAAATTCCTGAGGTAGTTGTATAGTATCTATGTCCGAGTAAAGGAAAATATTACTAAGACCCAAACCACCGTGTTAGAAGTAGTCGATCCACCACGCTCTCTCAGCATCTAACGCGATGTGGTGCATCTATGGAGGTTTCTTTTCAAAATCGTCCATAACTGCATAATACAGAGGTCATACACCAATTCTGACGCTCCGATGATCGGACTTTGCGTTGCACAAATATCAACAACTCGCCTAACAGAAGATGTTTCCTTCCATACTATGCGTCTGATTTCGGGTGCCAATTTCGGCAAGCACGCGAAGACTCGCGCGCCTTTGACCTCGGACTCGGTGTTGACTTGAGACTCGACTTCGGACTCAGTATTGACTTCAAAGTCGTTGTTTGCGGCAGCGGTGGCAGCTTTAGGAGGGGTGTTAAGGAAAGAAGAGTCGGAGATAGAGGAACTTGAACCGCCAGCTTCGGTTGCCCTTGCTTCGACAGCATTCGCGGATGAAGGCGAAGATGAGTTTGGCCTCGTGGTAAATTGCCTGTTTCAGATCAATATTTGCTGCTCGTACACGTTAACCATTGTGGATGGATCGCTTACCAGGAAGGAAACAGGAAGAGGCACCAAAATCCGAAGGGTTAAGTCTTCATCAAGGTTGTCTGGGAGATCTGGAGTTGATTGGAGAAAGTTCTAGGGCTTCACGAAAATGGCAGTGGCAAGGTCAAGAAATCCCGTCTTCCTCGCTTTTAAGAGACGCTCGCTATCACCATTTACTACAGCACCGATGGATAGACGGTTGACACTGGACTTGACAATCAAGTCACAGGAGAAGGTCAAACGGGTGGAAAGCGAGGGTGGGCTCCGTTCTGCTCAGTTCATTCTTCCTCTATTTGCGAGCTGGACTCAACTACCTTGCAAATGACCCCATGCCCAGTATCAGTTCCTGGATTCTTTTTACCTGGTTCATAATTGATAATTGGAAGTTTCAGCAAATCCCATGCCTTCATCTTTGGTCTGCACTTTGCTGCCAGTTGATCTTTTCCACCTCTGATCGAGTTTCCAGTGCCCCTTGTATGTCCCCATGCCTCAAACCTCGTGAACTTTCATCCGCATCAATTTGATAGTTGTGGAATCCATTTTTTTTATTAATTTTTTTAACGCTGGGCACTCATATGCCTTTGTCGTCATAGACTGAGCTGCATGCAAAGATTCCTTCGGCTTTCTTCTTTTGCTTTTAGTAGCTGCTTCACTGCCTTGGAGCCCACGTAACCTATATTCACTTGATCACCAATATCTCCAAGTTTGGGTTATATAGAATACTCTTCGTAAAGTCTAGCTCGTTCGACAGGCCGGTCACTGAATAAAACCTCATCCAGGTCAAAAAGATCGATTCCAACTAACCAATTCGTCTGGCCTACCTGCAGAGCGGTTCGTCGCATCTGTTCACCCAAAGCGGCATCTTCAAGGCAATGTTATATATTGGAGGACCATCCATACTCATCGGAAGCAAATGTTGGCATAGGGCAGATAACGTCGCAGTTGCGATGCACATAGATCTCCGCGGGAATCGAGATGTTGAATGAAACTCGGCGGACGAATTCTTTAATTTCCCAACCAAATGCAAGGCTATAGCTTTCCAAGCTAACAAGTCCTGCTTCCTTCGATAGATAGCGCACAGCTGGAGGTTTGCGAGAATGAGTCTCATACGCAACTGGCTGACGGGCATCAAAATAGGCGAAGAAATTGGTGCCATGTCTGCCACCGATTTGGTTAGACCAAAGATCAACAAGTCGTGGAACCGAAGAAGCATTCTTCCAAACCTCACGACGAAGTTCGGGAGGCTGTTGGGGAAAAGACGGGAAGCGGAGGAAGTTGTCGGGGGTCTGTTCAGATACAGAGACTGGTTCGTCACTAATAACTTTATCGTATCCGGTCATCGGATGCTGTTGGGACTGTGGAGCCTATGCCGTTGCTGTTTGGGATCGAAGATGAATATGAAAGAGAAGATCATCACTACAGATTGAGGAGGTGATGTTCGTTTGAAAGAAGCAGCTGGGTGCCCGAAGCTTTTGCGATGGAATCAGGGCTTTGAAAAAGTCGATAGGGCTGCTACCTCTTGATGCATTTGAAGTTGGCAAGAGGAATCAAGTCGGTTCAATAGAGAGCTTGAGGGTTGCTTCGATATCAGTCTGAAAGCTGGCAACATACTCATTGAGATTTGCCTACCTACCCCTACTGAATGAAGAGATTACGCTGAAGGCAGATGAGGTTGACACAGATGCATTCGAAGTGGCTGGTCTAGGTAGAGGGATGGAGGTGAGAGAAGGATGGATTATCGAAAGAAGGAGCGGCTTCCGGTCGAGCCGAACGGCGGGAAGTACTTCAAATTCATGTTATGTGTAAAATTCACCAAAAGACTCCAAAGGTTCGCTTTTGTGGCGTTCTCAATTATCTATGAGCTTGCCGAAAAGGACACCCTCGACCCTTCGTGGTTCTGAATCCCATGGTATTGTCAGTGACGTTGCCTGTCGACTTTCTGCCCAGCCATCATCAATCTCCCCTCACTGGCATTTTGTGCTTCTTTTCTCCCTAGACAATCACTGCCTCAATTCCAGCAGTTTCAGGGACATCTTCCGAATGATGGGTTGGACGGAATGATCATCCCACGATACGTCAGGATCCAGTTCCATGTTCTTCTGGACATCCTCTACCGCATAATCCAGCGTCTTGATCATCTCCTGCTCCTCATTGTCTGCGGTCATTCTCCCCTGACTACGAAATTCGGTGAGTTCAATGTTGAAACGAATACCATCAGCATAGGATTCTTCGACTCTGTCAAGTCTCTTGTAGGTACTGCCATCAATTGGAACGTAAACGAGGATTTCGGAGATGTTGTTGGCGTCCGAGAAGAATACGGTCCAGTTTGTATGGCTTTCTGGTATAGCAACTCGTTTGATCTTTTGGCAATTTTCGCAATCACCCAAGTCGACCATCAAAGCCATTTCCAAATCCATGTTGTCATCAGGATCGTTGTTGCCATGTCTAGGTAAAAGAGGAGTGAGAAATTGATGGAGTAATATCTCGCCACCAGACCACTTACGGTTCTTCATAATCAAAGGGAACAGGAAAGATGATATCACTATCCCAACGGACGTAGATCCGTGGCCCTGCGGGTGCTTCATCATCATCATCCTGAAAGAGATCATAGTGTTGGAGTCCAACACTGCGGGCTTCTCTGGACGTATGGAGGAGAGCGGGTGCTCGAGAATGAGTACAATAAATCAAGTTATCCTTGGTGGAGCTTTCCTTGAGCCAGAGATCAATGATTCTAGGCTCGTAGTCACCGCAATGTTCCTTCCAGATCCTGTTTCTCAATTCTGGAGGCAACTTGGGGAAGCAGGTGAAGACTCGTCCTGAACGGTTGCCGACGCGTCCCCCCTTTCTTTCACCATTGCCATTCGCTTGGGTGCCCATCTCAGGCGGGCTTTGTCTCTGTGGCTCCAAGATCTAAAAATAGTTAGCCTGCAGTACTTGAATTGGAATGTTTTAACCCACCAAGCAACCCATGGTTGGTGATGGACATGAGATGGGATTTGACATGGTGAGAAAGGACAAAAAGATCGGAATCGGCTGGTGTTTTGGTTCAATTCTCGAAGCGAGCCGCCTTACCTGAAGAGGATATAGTCAAGCCGTCACGGGGTTCGACTCTGGATGTCTTTCCTTGCAGAAAAGAATTCTCCAAACGATTTTTTTGTCCATTCTCCCATTGCCTACAGGGAATTCTTTCTTCTCACACCTGGTCGCTCTTCTGAATCCTTGAAACCGGAGCAGACTGTCAACAACTCTCTTCCCCAGGCATCCAAAAGAGATCCAGTGTGGATAGCCCTCTTCAAGAATTGACAAGGACGGCAACCCAAATATCAAGTCAACCAACAAGCTAAGCTGCATTTGTTCCCCTCAACATGGAATATCCTTTCCCCAGAGTGAAGCTCCAAGAGAAATAGGCTAAGACATTTGCTCCCAGTCCCGCTCTCCTCCACCTCAAGTCAAAACAACGAGAAAATTCTATTACACTTCATTTCTCGAACTTTCTACAACTTTATTCCCACCACATTTATGCCACCTCATTACCGCCGCTCCACTCAACATCACCGTCCAATCAATACCATTATTCGTGCCGAAAACCCAATCCAAACATCCTTCCCGACCATCCAATGATCTGTGACAGTCAATAAACCCCTAACTTTCGAGTACAAATCGCCAATATCCCTCTGCTGATTGACCCGCATCTCAGCATCAAGAATATTACCCGCGTCAAACAGCAGAAATCCCAGGATCACAAAAACGGGATAGAAGGTTCCTGGCAAAGGAAGAACAAAATTCGCAGGCATCCGATTCTTTTCGAACCACGTCATACATTTACAAACTTGATTGCTAGGAAGCTTATAAGCATTGTGAGTCAGAGGGACACTGCTCCAGCGATCAGAAGGGTGCCGCTGTAATGCAGCTGTTGGCAGAAGAAGGGCTTGTCCTAGTTTGGCGCCGGGGATGTGCATCGTAAAACTGAGCAGTCTAGGTGGTAGTCTGTCTGTTTGTTTGAAGGAGCCACCGTGTTAGAATTCGGGATGAGCAGACAGTATTTGAATGGTCCTCAAGTCGATGTTCCGAGAAGGTTCGACTGAGGATATCATAGCTGGAGACTGCCGCCCTCGAGCCGTTGGCAATTACGACGATTGAAGGTACAAAAGGGGTCATGGTGATGCAAACTGTGATTCGGATGAGGACTTGTTCTGCATTATGATCAGGTCTAGTTTGGGGCAATCTTTGCCCTAACGCGAAAGATTACTGTCGTTTTGTGTTGTTTACATCTGGACTTGACTTGTTCGTGTTTATTTTTGACAGTGACTTTGACTTTTGTTGACCCTGATGAGTTGAGAAGGTGACTAGACTGCTGTACTGTATATTATCTAAGTGCTGAAGTTTATGCCCCACCAGCAGCGGCTCTAGGCGATCATCAGTTTGCGCCAAATCATCTCACCAGAAGGAGATAAGTCAAACCACGAAACACTGGCCTTGATTTATGGTATGACGAAGGTCCCAAAAGAGCTTCTCGGAACTCTTGGCTCTTGGGTTGCTGGCCAGTGAAAGTAACGCTGTGCAGAAGAGGTCTCTCCAATTACCCTATTTGTGAGCAGTCCTATCATAGCACCAGTAGGCGCCCCACGCCTATTCGACTGTTACACTTCCGTATCGGAAGTTTGCATCCCCGAGTCAAACCGCATACCAAGGGGCGATATTATGTACCAGGTGACTCCTTGTTGCTGGGACCTCTGCAGAGATGAATAGAGGCAATTGGGCATGGTGATTGGCTGGCGAAGCGACTGTACCCGATTAGACGAGAGATTGTGGGGCATTTCTCGACGTCTCTTCAACTTTAACCTCTACCTCTCAACGCCGACACAAAACAACAACAGACCCAACAACCAACGAAGTATATCCACCTGTTTCCGCATCTTGATATGCTGTACATTTATTATTGTAAAGTCCTTTCATCGATCTCGAGCGGGGCTGCATTGGTGCTCCCCACCGTGGGGTCAGTCCGGAAGGTTGTAGCGATGGCGTCAGGCCTTTCCACATCGCCCGCTACATTTCAATCTCTGCTGATCCTTTGGATGCATTCTTAAGCGGCTGGTAAACGCCCCGATGTCTCCATTGATTGAAGAGACGCGGTGAGCTACCTAGCTTTGAATTTTACACATGGCTTTGTCTATAGTTCTTCAAGTCGAGATATGCTGGCTAGTGCAGACAGGACATTAGCATCTCAGTATTGTAATATTAATATTTCGCTTTTGGGATCCCTTGCACCCTTGAGTAAAGGATCAAGAATAGCTTGAAGGGGCCTTGGAAACTTCGATTTAATCACGTGATTAAGCACTAGACTTCCATGACCATCTTCTTTTAGCATTTGTGGATTTTGTGGGCACGCGTTTTGCGATAGAGCGGGTAGATTGATAAGCAGCCGCTTTCATTGATTTGATGTGCCTAGCACCGAAGAGGGAAGTGATTCAATACAAATTTAGGGGGACTGACGATGCTCGAATGCAGCTCGCATGGACACCTTCATGCTGCTTCGATGCGAATCAAAAAGAGTTTATTACGCGGGCTCTGGGGATTTTAAAGAAACTTACAACATTAAATGCCGTATGCGCTGCGAGCTTCAGGCTACAGCACATGGTATTGAAGAGCCATTGCCTAGAGCCATCACGTACCTTGGTTCTAGGAAACTACTTTCAGTTATGTAGACATAGGAAGGTCTGATAACATCTGAGGTCTTCTCCCCAAATTCAAGGGTCTAACCCCCCGATTCGAGATGCAGTTGGTGATGTTGAGCTAGTGCTCTTTGGCATAGCGCCAGGTTCTGATCGAGGGAGAGGGTGTTACTTCCTCTTTCGCCGAGCGTGGCAACCCTGAGAGTGAAGCGCAAACCTCGCGAGCATATCAAATAGTTACCGGGGCATCTGCCATGGTCTAAGTGAAACTTTTTTTACTTCTGCAGTTGCGAATTGGTTTACGTATCTGTAGAAAGAGAGGTACCAGTATCCTCGTAGCTGCCGTTCCAATCGCAAAATCAGTCTTCTACATTGATGAAGTTTCAGCTCTTCAATTCTTTCATTATCATCAACAATACAGCAGCATGCATATTAAACGCTCATTAGCAGATGAAAAGCTCCCCGGTTAGCCGTGGGAGATCTCGAACTGCTTGCAATCGAGCTCGCTTCTTTGTTACCTTCGCCTTGTTCTCCTTCCATCGGATCGCCTCCTCCTGGAACAACATCGACACAATCTTCTCGTCTCAAAGTACAAACGCTCGAACGAGCCCCGAGAACAGACCCCCACCAAATGGAGCACCCTCCAACGAGCAGTTACTCGCCCCATACCTATTCGAGTCCCGCCAGTTTGTTCCTCTCAATCTCTTCACGCCTCAACACATGAAGAGGCGCATGCGCAAGTTCTACTTCGAAGGCGTCAGAATGAATGACCGCGGCTACTACATCACTTTCCCTAATACAGACTTGGGTAGGAGGGATGCCGAGCAGTGTTACAAAGCCTTGAGTGGAACATTGATGTTCACTCACACCATGATCATGCGACCATTCTTCCACGTCACAAGGAAGAAGGTTCAGCGGGGCGGATGGCGTAGAACTCCCCGACCTCCTGATTTGTTTACAATTCCAATATTTACTCGGATAACAAAACAGCCTTTCAATGAAAACCAAAATCTATCGTTACCGTCACCGAACCATTCAAGAGATTCAATAAAATGGCGGACAGCATTGCACAGCTTTTTGCTTACAACGACATGGAACACTTTATGCTTTCCAGAAATTTGGACTTTCAGAATGACGAACAGTACTGAGAGGCCAAGGCATTGTTACTTTCGTGGAGGGTAGAGGCGCTGGGCCACGGTGGAGATATCCAAGTGCCAGAGAACATGGACCACCGCTCGATGAGATCAAAACGTTGGCATTGAGGTCTGCTAGACGAGCGGTCTTCTTCAAGCTTCTCTTGAACTATTAGTTTTAGGCTAGAGAGAGTGCCGTTTAGGGTGTGAGCTCGATTGTCGGAACCACTGCTGGGGATCAAGTACAATCCAAGGAATAGAAGAAGCTCAAACTACAGTTTCAACATTCGTTTGGTTGATTCTTTGACTCACTAAGCCTAGTTATTGCGGCTCGAATTCACGTCTAGGCGCACTCTCGCATCATTCCAGCCAGCTCCCCAGGAAATGATTCTAAGATCTCTCCTTCGATCAGCAAAGTCGCCGAGAGAAAAAAGCATTCAAGAACAGCTTTGAAATGAATTGAAACGACTGAAATATTGGTGGAAATTTTATGGTGCCTTTCCGGCGTGCACGCCACTTGATCGCTTCAATGGATCAACAGCAATACCTCACTAATCCCGTAATCCCGACTACCAAATTACCCTCACTACCAAGCGCTGCATTTCAGAGCTCTCAAGACCTCATATACACCACCGCCATTCAATCAACCTCTTTCTTCCCCACCTCTGAATTCATATGCCTTCCAACAGCAGCAACCAGAAATCAACCTACCTCCAGCGCAGCCAGCAACACTCTCAATTCTGCGGCTAGGGGGCCTCAGGCTACGGCTGGCAGGTCAAGGACGGCTTCGCGAGCATGAATCACTTCTTGTTTTCCCCTTGGGTTTGGGATTTTGAAGATAACGATGAAAAGGAGGCAAAGGCGGTCTTGGACGCTTTCAAGGAGCGGTTGGACTGGGAAAAGGTACAGGTCCATATCCAAAGACCCTTTACAAATATGATTAGAAATTCCAACCCAGCAGCTTTCTAAATTTGAAGTTTTTTTTAATTTGACATATTGAATTTTATTGGGGACTTGAACTACCAAGTCATGCGCAGTTGCGGATCAAGTCAAGTAAATAAGCAATTCCCCCGCTATCTGATTACACCTTCCTCTCTCCAATATCTGCTACCTGCCTGCATTCTTTGAGGAACAACAAAGCCCAGATTATTCTTGCAATCTTTCTCGCGATCCCAAGTTCCCAGTCATTTAAAAAAGCTCCCTCGTCTATCACACCTGCAACGAAGCAGCTGTGGAATATCAAGGTGGCTGGTCACGCTAAAATTAGGGTGGCTGGGGAAAGGCCATAAAAGTTCACTTCTGTACATTTTTCCAACCCAAATCAATATAATCAACTCCATTGCAATTATCACTGTTCAGCAGAAGCCCTCTTTATCCCATCACCATCAATCTCAACCCGCTTTCACACAATCACCGTCCTCACCTGACTCCACACCGAGAATGCCTTCCAACACCTCCAACACCAACAAACAATCAACCTCCACCTCCGATTCTTCCACCAAAGCTTCCTCTAATTCTTCGTCTGGTGAGAAGTCCCAGAACCAGATGATCAAGGATGCGGGTTTCAGCAACATGAACCGTTTCATGCAGTCGTATAACTTAAAGATGCACGACGACGATGATCTTCGGGAAGCTAAGGCTATTTTGGACGGCTTGAGAAAGGTCGATGGGGCTGGTCGGAAGCAGTAAACATTGCCGTGTCGGTGAGATTCACTGTGTTGGAGCGGACTTCGAGGATATTTGCTAACTTTTCCCTTGCAGAAGATACCAAGGTGCTGATTCTGCCAGTTCTTGACATCGGGATGTGTTGATCGTGGAGGAATTTGGCGGATGCACCTGGGGATTCGAATATCTTGGGTATGAACATCGTTGAGGTTTGGAGTTGTTGTCAACCGCACGGGGTCTCGCCGGTGTTCTTTGCAGGCGTATCAAATCGAACTTCTGCACTCCTCCTCAATCTTTTGACAAAATACTTGAGTGACATCACAAACCGTTAACATCGCACTGTGTCATGTTGCACCCATCTTAAGCAAGATTATCTCCTGCTTTTTAAACGTTACCCTTTCATATGTTGCTGATGAATGGGCTAAGAACGTGCTGTTTCCTCTCGAGTTTCGGCCATGTGCCGAAAACCTTTCAAGCCAAGTTCTCAAGCCGGCGTCTCATCCATCTCACAGTCCCGTGCTCCCTCACTGAAATATCTCATTGTCTCGTTAAAGCCAGAATGCCGGACACAGTCGTGCCAACCAGCTGCCTCCACGCGCTTGCAGCTATTTTCTCCACCAACCCCGGAGCGAGATTATCCATAAAGCTCGTTGGCCATAGGATAGTCCACATGGCTTTTCAACCCTTCAAAGCCTACATTCTCTACTGAACTTCCCAAATGTTTTTCAACATTCTCGCTTGATACCGAAAAGCAGAACAATCGTGTGTTCGTCAGTCTTGGATATGGGTCCACATCAATCTATGGAGACAAAGTCTATGAAGCAAACTCTTGCTGTGGTCTCTGCCTCCATGAACGAAGTTGCTTCATCCTCCTTGTAGTTCCCGGGAACGGCGAAGAGCAAAACCGAGACTATGCAACATTTCTGTGAAGACCCAGCGAAATCGGTACATTCTAAGCCACATCCTAGCATGTTGAAGTCCCGTTGCGTGTCCCCCATCCTCTGATCACAGCCCATTTTCTCTAGATTTCACTTTCGGTAATTCTAAAGTCTCAGAAGCCCAAAGCTGTCTTGCCCTCTTTGAGATGAGAGCCAATCACGTGGAGGAGATCTCGCAGTAAATCGCAGTAAATTTCCTAAATTTACTCGTTGACATGAGGTAGAAATTCACCTTTGAGCTTAAATTCGAAGTTCCATCTGATCCGACTTCGGACTACAAAATTCAATCTCCACCACCCCTTTGGACCATCCAACTTCGACACGACCCCCAAGTCCTACCCTCCTACATTCAGTCGACCGCCACAACAACGCTCACGCACGTTTGGGTCCTCCTTTACTCGCGGGTTCCTTTCATTGAGCTTCGACAGTCATATTGAGAGGCTGAAGGCGACTCCGTACCATCTCAAAGATCGGTCGCGATGGATCTAGCAGCCCCAGCCAGGAAGAAGAGGAAGTTGGCTCAGGCCTTTACGGCAGCAAAGGATAAGAATACGAAAGCAATGTACGCTCGTTCGCGGGGACATTGACGGACTGGATGCTAACTTGGTTTCAGTGTCAGGAGGAATGCGACTTCATCTCCACTTCTCCGCCTCCCACCAGAGTAAGCACAATCGGCGCCTATCTATTGTTCCATAATCGTCGGGTCATTCTAGAATGCGAGAATGCTGACTATCCAATGTTCTAGGCTACAACAGAAGATCTGGGGATATGTGCTTGGGAACCGGCTGATACACATTGGCGCGCAGGGAGTGCGTCGGAATTATGGCTATCGGAGCTTACAACCGCGATTTTTCAACACTATCTGTAAGTGTTGGAGGGACCCCTTTCCTATTTCAATACCCTAGGGTTTCTGAGACAATCTATATCAAGTAATTGCTGAGTCTCCCATTATCTAGGCCAATCCCCAGTCACCGAAAGAGAAGCATATGAGCTCTCAAAAAGCGCAGAGTATAATAAAGCCGCTACTTCTTTCAAGAATGGAGAGGATATGCGACTCTGCGGGAACCGACACCGTGCCTGTGAACTGGAACTCGTTGACCACTCTACTGAACAAAACCTTCCCCCAAATAGACTCAATGTGGGTGTGTTGGCTGTCTGTCGACAAGTCTATGTAGAGGTCAATCCTATCCTCTGGAGCACCAACACATGGTCGTTTCAGTGCCAGCGTACCTGGCGCTATTGGATGAGCGGTAGAAATGCTGTTCAAAAACGATTGATCAAGAAGATCCATTTTTCCAATGAGGTAGCTTTTGGTCTCAATAACAAAGCCACAATCCTCGCACTCAAGTTGGAGGAACTCAACATTGACATTTACACGTGGCGGCAATATAGTTTCATGAGTCGTGAGTTCCAATACAGACCTCCCCCTTACGTTATGTAGATGCTAACAACCTTAGTTCACCAATTCCTCCAGACGGAGAAAGTCACTGTTATCGCTGCTGATGCTTGGACGACTGCTAATGGCAAACAAGCGAATAATATAACTTCTTTCGAAGAAAAGCTCGCCATTGCAGAGGCTTGTCAGTCCCACTTGGCCACCCTGCAAGCCGAATTAGCTCGCAAGAAACAAGAGAAAGAGAGCGCGAAGCTGTTGATAGGAGAGAAGAGTCCTGAAGTCAGTGGCAGTAATGACGGTCGAGAGTCCGAGAATTAGAGGCAGGTTCTGATAGAGGATACGATGTTCGACCAGGTTCAACCAGAACTATCTCGAATCCCAGATTCCCTTTCATCCTTTCCACCTAGCACCACCACCATCGATCCCTCAAAAGACATCACAATCACTTTACAACAACCAACACATTGTCCTCAATCCAACCCGAACACAAACTCATGGTTTTTTCTCCAATCCGAACAATTGCGACTGATCGTTCTCCTCCTCAACGAACAACAACACCCAAGATAGCTATGGGCAATGATTGAGGAGATATTGGATGGCGGCCTCCTCCGAGCGTGTAAAAAGTTCTGTACCCTAAGCCCCCTCAAACAAACATTCTTCCCCACAAGACCAGACGCCTAGAAGAGAATTGTGAGAATGATGCCCCAACAAGTGTAAGCCAAGTATGCTTCCTAACACAAAACATTCCCAAACCGCCTGCAGTGAAACTCGACTGAGCGCTTCTCCTTACGACGCTTTAACTCCTGAGCCTCTATAATCTGCGCAGCAGATACCTCGTCCAATGCATCGGGATTCTTTTGACTGCTCGGTGACGGGAATTGGACTTCGTAAAGGTTGATTCGATTGTTTCCGCCGCACATCTTTGGTGAAGCGCAGTCAGCAAGTGCCGGGAGCACAGTTGTTCCCGGAAAATTGTGGGGGATCTTCTCGACGGGAATTATACGAGCATTTTGAACTTTTAAAGCTTACCTGCGTGCTATCCCCGTTGCAAGGAATGGTGCAAGCGTGCGAAGGGGAGCCGGTCTTGAAGATATTGCCGCACCAGCAATCATCTCCCCTCTCTGTTCCCGCCATCGTGAAGCCCAGATCGCCGCACGCTGTCTGGCAGATCTCAGGTGTCATGAGTTCACCGTGCTGATTGACTTGAGTCAGCACCGCCCGATTGCCCGTAATCGTATAGCAGCCGAGGGAGCCCCATGAGTAAGCGTAGGAGAAGTTAATGAGCGCGGCGGCAAAGAGAAGGGACCGAAACTTGAAAATAGCCATGCCTTAAGGAGTGTAAAGTCGACGAGTCGAAAAATGACAGGAAACGGGTACAAAATTGCAGGCCGCTGGACAAAAGAAAGAGAAGGGTTGACGAGACTCTTAGGCGGGAAAAGGAAAGCCACGATGGATTCAAGTGTGCACTGACAAGCTTCCTTAGGCCGATTTGGCATTTTTGCGCCCTCGAAAGGTCGCCCAATATGAAGGCACACTAATCAGGATCGCCTAAGGACCCCGGACCCCGTGGTAAGTGAGGCTGATAGCATCTTAGCACCACCACTTTCCGCAACACTTTGTGAACGAGACTTCGCTAGATTTGAAGAAACAGACCTTTTGACAGCGTCGTTGATATAAGGTCTCATGGCTTTCCTTCCTTGGAGAAGATCAGCAGCGACATTCCCTCCTGTTGAAGCGACAAGAGCATCCAACAAGGGCGCGACATATCGCAAAACGGACGGGACATCCAGCGGGAGGGAAATTACGGTTACCAAAATTCAGATAGGGGCGTCTGGCACGTGGGGTCGCATGCACTAAGATTGTTTAGTTTCTGCGCCGCCAGCCCTGTCAGACGGGCCATGATTGGAGTCCTTTAAGCCACATTACCAGGTACGTACCACGAAGAGGCCTGTGTGGAAATCAGGGGCAAACGCCCGAGGAAATGTTCAGCACCGCACCGAATCGGGATGGTGGAATTCACAGAATAAGATGCGACTGGCCCACGTCGATTGAGGGATTCATATGTGCAGAATTATGAACTGGTGGCCAAAACTAAGTGCCAAGCTGTGTCAGTTTTTCGGAATTCTGGATTCTGGTCTGACTTGTTCGTGTACTGATGTTACTTGTTAACAAAATTGACGGATTGTACTCCACCGTTTTCTAGAGTCTATTCTGCGATGGTAAGAAATCGAAGCTATGTTGCATCCTTGAAGGTTCTTTCCTCTTCGTCGAAGTTCCCAAGTGCTATTCAATGGCTTCGAGGTAATGAATGCAATGCTTCGCGAGGTATTTTGCTCTGGTTGGATCGCAAAATGTTCTCTTTGTATTGGAAGGGTGTTCTTCTCAGCACGACTCAATCTGTTCTGCTGCAAGTTCAGCGGACATAAATAAGGTTTCCATTTCTGAGATCTCCGCGTTCTAGTACCCCTCTTTTTTGTTCTCCGCCCAAGACCCTAGAAAGCGTGTACAATCAGGTCAGATTAGTCATCGTCACACGATATTTTGAGACAACTAACTCTCTTCTTTATAACTTTACTAATCCTTAACTAAATTTAAATATTTTTAAATTTAAAAAAGGACAATTCAAATTTACTTCTATTTAATTAAATATTTAAGTATATTTATTTTTAGATTATTATATAATTATAAAGCTTTTAAAAAAAATTTAAAAAAATAAAAGCCTTCTTTAAAACCCTTACTTCTCTTAATTTTATTAATTTTATTTCTTTAAGATTAATATATATTAATATTTAGCTAGTTTAAAAACTAATCTATTAATCTTATATAATAATAGTAATAAAGTATTAAGCTATTAGATTTTTAATTCTTAGATTTTCGAGAAAATAAGCGAAAATAAGCGAAAATACACGAAAATTATAACTTTTAAACTTTAATAACTTTAAACTTATAAATTTAAATAATATAAAAAATTATTTCCCCTAATGAGATTTACTTAAAGATAAATAATTCAAAGTTTAAAAGTTTTATAATAAATAGATTATAATTAATATTAATGAATTATTAATATAATACTATAAGTCTTTTATTTAATAAAATTAATATTCTATTATTTTTAATGCTAGTATTTTAAACCAAATATTAATAGTATTATTATATAAAAAGTTATAGATTTGTAAACTTGTTTGAAACCCAAGTCACGTGACGAAGACTTAACTGACCTGATTGATTTGATTTGATTTGATTTGATGATTATTTGCGTCCAGCGGAAAACTAGAAGAAACTAGCTTTCCTGTGACCTCCCATGGGGTATGGGGACGTGCTAAGCTTATAGGAATTACAAAACAGAGTCCTATTTAATAGAGTAGTCAAAACCACGAGGGGAAAAAGACGTCCTCTACTAAATAGCCCCGGGTCCCTTTATCCCGCGGTGTTTCAGTGCCCCTGTAGACCTTATAGAAAGCATTTCTAGTATGAGCGAACGTGCCAAAGGCTTGTGACTGTGAACCTCCCACGGCCAGTTGGGGTGGCCACCAGATTACATTCAGTATACCCCAGGTAGTCCGAATCTCCCTAGGCAGGTACGAAAGAGAGGAATATCCTCGTCCCTTCCTCCTACCCAAACCCCCTCCCCGTATACCATTCCAACGTAGATGTCCTTGGGCGCGGTATTCCCCCTCTTGCGGATCCGCCAAACGCCTTCCCCAGTTCCCTCTATCCTCGTATATAGAATCTGTATCGGTTTGAGAGTTGTGAGGATATTCGGAAGGAAGTTCGAGTCGTTCGTTGATTGTGAAAAATTTTCCTCCTCCGCCAAGCCCCCGAAAAATTCCACCCAGCGACGACGATTGCGACTCTGGTCGTGGTGCAAGCTAAGCTTACAGTAGACCTTTGCTATTTGTAGAGAATAAACCATACAGAGTCCCCAGCAGGCACCGCGAGGAGGTGTGAGTTCGACTTTGCCCGCTGAGACCTGATTGTACACCACGAAGGACTTCACTTAAAGCCAAAGAGCTGCGAGCGGCCATTGCCTCTTCGGTGTAGAGTTTCGCACCTGTTTACGAGTAAGACCCTATCGGCTCAAGTTCTTGTGTCGAGAATCGGCCGCCTATTTCCGTTACCACCGAATTCTTGCATGCCCCACCACCCTTCACTCAAGAAGTACCAAGTAGCTCTCCTTAAACTTCGGATCGGACCAAAAAGCCCCAGTTTTATCGGATCCGACTTTGCGCCTGCCTCCTGTATATGACTCCTTGTATATACCTTTTCGCGCTTCTTGGTCGATGCACCATGCTCGCAGTTCACCTCCTCCTCTTTAGCTACTGAATATTACTTCTCAATCTCAAAATGCCAAAATCTACTTTTGATCCCTCTACACTTCCCGACTTGACAGACTACGTCGTCCTCGTAACTGGTGGACATTCCGGCTTGTATGTATTGTCAGTATTCTCTCCTTGCTCGCTCAAAGCGATGACACTTCACAAGAGGACTTGCGACTACCAAAATGCTCGCCGGAAAACATGCAAAGGTCTATATTGCTTCAAGGTCCGTCCCAAAAGCGGAGTTGGCCATCAAAAATATCAAGGTGGAAGTCGCAAACGCGAATATTGCGGTCATTGAGATGGATTTATCCGATCTCGATAGCGTGAAACGTGGCGCTCAGGAGTTTTTGAGGTAAGTCTCTTTACATGAGCGCCAGAGTCGAGCAGGCCACCTGATGGGAAGGCAGAAAGGAGAGCAAACTGCACATCCTTATCAACAACGCAGGGGTAAGCGCATTCAAGGTTCCCATCGAGTTGAGACTATGAATCCCGCTGAAAAGAAAAGATCATGTGTCCACCGTACAGCGAAACAAAACAAGGTTTCGAGATCCAATTCCAGACGAATTACCTCTCCCACCACCTTCTAACTCGACTCCTCCTCCCCACCATCCTTGAAACGTCCTCCCCATCTTCAACTCCTCCTATCATTCCAAGAATCGTGAACATCTCCTCCGACGGACACTCCAAACTCGTGTCCACCTTCTCTCCCTCAGATCCCACCTTCCCAAACTTGAAGGAAGCGTCAACGTGGACCCGCTACGGTACCTCTAAGCTCTGTCAAGTGCTGCACTCCAAATCGCTGGCTACTCACTACCGGAACATCCTCGCCTTGTCTCTACATCCCGGGACGGTGAAAACAGGATTGAGTGCTGGGCCGCGAGGGAGTACTTCTTGGTATAGGTTCATACAGCCGCTTGTGGAGCTGGGCGCGCCAGGACCCGAGGAAGGATGCGCCGGTATTCTTTTCTGTGCTTCCACTGACGAGATTGGGATGGGTGACAATGGAGCCTATTTCTTGCCAGTGGGTAAGAAGACAAAGGCAAGCAAGTTCGGCGAGGATCCTGAGCTTGCTGAGCAATTGTGGAATTGGAGCGAAAGGCGATTGAGTGGGCTGGGATACTGAATACTCTTATTAATTCTGCTGAATTTTATACAAGTTGTCACTGAATTATTGATGTTAAAGGCGGAGACAGCTCCTGTGATAATGCAACCGGCTCGATGATACAGTATGGACGTTGAAGATACTTTCCCCAATGACGATGCTCTTTTAAACCCCCGCCATCCTTTAATTTACTCCTCATTATTTCTCGCACCTTTCTCACTTTCGTTAAAGCGGTCTCCTAGAACAAAGTTCTGATATTCCTCACTCCAGTCTTTTTCCCTATCAAATCTTTCTGTGGCAGGTTTGATTTCTGCTGTACTGAGACATCACAAGGAGTGCCCAATGAGCGCCCTGCAAGGGGAAATTGCATAGCGAAAATGGAAAAGCTTAGGCTAATAATCAAGCTTGATAACTAGTGCCGTCTATCTTGACTCGGGTCCCACCAAAATGGCATCGCCAACGCCTGCAACGGTCTTGGCATTATAGAACCAACAGCCCCGTTTGAAAACTGGCAAGGATTCTTTTCTTCGGATTTCCGGGTCATATATGTTTTAATCTCGTACTAGAACATCGCACTGACCACCTTCCACGTTCAGTACCGGACAGCGAGAGAAATGAATCTCGATTGAGAGCTTGAAGCTGAGGAAGCATAGCCTTGTCCTGTTCCTAACCCGTAAGAACGCTCAGAACTCAAGCAGCGCCGGCTAGCACAAGTTAGCCATCCTTTTTTTCTTTTTCAACAGAGAATGAGTGCTTACCAAGTTGCCCCAGAAATGGACCGTAGCGAAAGAATCATCGTGTAACGAGTCTTCATCGCGCTGCACCTTTTCAACAGATATATCTTCGACCTTTTGTGGTGTTTCGAGTTCGCTGGGGGTCGGCATGGGTTTTTCGGGTTTATCGGCCTTCTCATTGAAGGGGGCATTGGCAGGTGTCGACATCTTCATCCAATTGTTGGGACCAGGATTGAGTTGAAGTGTACGAGGAACTTAGAAAGCAATAATCCTATGCTGAAATGGAGTATAAATTGAAATGTTGTAGTAACCGGACAGAGGGAGTCGAATATTTGTGGGTGGAAGGGTATCAGTAGCCTGTAGCGTATTTTCTTCTCTGCCCAGCAACCGCGTATCTTGTATAGATACTTTCAGCGGTGGGGGTGCAAGTAAGTTCAGCAGGTTCCGAACTGCTAGAGTTTGCACATGATTACGGGCGTTTGCTCGCTGTGTGAGAAGGGGAGTCACAGAGCATCTATGACTAAAGTTCTCAATCAGGAAGTGGATTTGCATTCATTCAGCACCGTACCACGGTTGCTCGGTCAATCGGCAGATAACCTCATACTCCGTATGTCTTTTGGCGTGGGGGAGTCTTTGCCTCGCCTCGGATGGTCGCTCGACCTCCGATTAGTTCCTAGCCGAGCCCCTGTCTTTAGCGAGAACCCCTGAAACACAGAAAAGAGAGAATGCTGGTACAGTAGGTAAAAAAGGCGGCACTGGATTATCATTGTCGCAAGCCAAGATTAGTTCAGATACTTTCTGTGTAAATATTCTAGCGAGTCACTGAGTATTTAAAGTATCCCTCTTCCGCTATCTTCGAGATGCTAGGCTTATCTAGTCTAGAGAAATGGCTAAGATTTATAATAGTGAAAGTTCAGTGGTGCTTTTCTTGTCCAGCGCGAGCCTGATGACTAATGGAAAGAAGAAACACTCCAAAGCAGTGCTATCGAAAATGAAAATAAATGAACCAGATCTGTTGTCTAGAATCTCCAGCTTTTCAAGTCTCTGATCGCGGCCAAAAGCTCCAGGCGAACAGCAACATCTCCATCAACCAGGGATCAGGGATCCGGTTATATATCCAACGCATCGCCTTACTGAAGCTGGATGTCTCAAAAACTGCACTGGCCGAACTCGATTCTTTCGAACTATGCCTTGTGCGACTAGTTTCACTCTACGTGGTAGTTGTTGGTGCCAAACCCAAACCATTCGCAGATACTGCGGGTGAGGGGAAACTCATCAGAAAAGTCATAGCTAATGGTCTGTGAAAACCCGGGAGCATGACCTGTGGCGCAGTATTATTTGAGTTCATATCCCCGCAAACAGGTCATGACGGCGAAACTATTCGACGCCCGGCTAGCTCGGCTTGCGCCCACAACCCATCCATAAATTGCCCTAGCCAACCGGATCAAACCCCACCATCTCATTTGGAAGCAAGGGGAGAATTCCTTTCGCCCAGAGGATAGCATGCCCAAGAGATATGTTAGCCACCGCCTTTAGCCTGAATCGATCCGAACTATGTCCCCAGCGGAAATCCCCCAGACGCGGGACATTGCGGGGACCCCTGTTTGACAGCACACCTTCGATGTAGATCGGCACGCCTCAAAGCTTGAACTGTGGTTTTAGTTTCGATACCCCCCAATGCTCTAGTTAAATGTGAGGTGGGCTCCGGTTAAATAGAGTTTGATACTCGGAAAAGCAAGTCTAGAAAGACTAAGCTTGGAAGACTAGAAAAGGAGACCCGCCGAGCAATGTTGATCAGGAAAAGTCTACCATCATCTCTATCTCCTGCCTCGTGCCTCTACAAATATGGCCCCAAATACAGCCGCAGATCTTGGTCCCAATAGACTCGGTGGTCTCGATGTGCCCGAGCTTCAACACGGGAAGAGATGGTGGTTTCAAGATCCTGGGTTGCGTAAATTATACTTCCTCATTTTTATTGCCATTCTGAGTTCAGCTACCAACGGTTACGATGGGTGTGTCTTCACATATACTTCCTTTCTGAACATAAATTAACACCACCAGATCAATGATGAACGGACTCCAAGCTTTGACTTATTGGAAAACTTGTACGTATTGAAGTCAGGTTCTGGGTGTTCGTTATCTAACTGTTCAAGATTTCAACAACCCAAGTGGATCTCGCCAAGGACTTCTTAACGCAATTCAATCTGTTGGATCTGTTTGCTCTTTACCAATTGCTCCAAACCTAGCAGATTGGATTGGTAGAAAGTACAGTATTTTTATTGGAAGCCTTGTCGTCGCCATTGGAGCAGGACTTCAATCCGGGGCCACGGATACCGGGATGTTCATTGCAGGGAGATTCTTCAGTAAGTCTTTTCGGGCCACTTTTCGATCATGGCTATAACTCATATTGTAGTCGGTCTTGGCTCTGGGATCAATGGAATCGCCAGTCCTCTCCTCATTACCGAACTAGCTCACCCCAAAGAACGCGGGAAGATCACTGCAACCTACAACACGTTCTACTACTTCGGCTCAACCATTGCAGCCTGGACAACATACGGCACATTACAAATCCCTAGCAATTGGTCATGGAGACTTCCAAGTCTTTTACAAGTAGCACCAAGTGCCTTTCAGCTCAGTTTCCTTTGGCTTCTTCCAGAAAGTCCAAGGTTTTTGATTTCAAAAGATCGACAAGACGAGGCCATGGGTGTGATGGCTAAATATCACGCGAATGGAAACATTCACGATGAGGTGATTATGTTCGAGTTCGCCGAGATAAAGGAAGCTTTGAAAGAAGAGAAAATCAATTCCAAAGGACGGTACATGGACTTAATCAACACTCGTAAGTTACTTGAACCTCGCTACTCTGCTCTGTCTAACTTATAGTGTGACAGCTGGAAACCGAAGGCGTCTCTTCATATGTCTCTGCTGTGGTTTCTTTTCCCAAATGTCTGGCACTAGCCTTACCGGATACTATCTCAGGTAAACAAGTCTCTTGCAGTGATTCCAATTCCACAGAGACTGACTAGATGGGTAGTAAAATTCTTACCGACGTTGGTATCACAGACCCCCAATTCCAAAACAGGCTTAACGGAATCATCGGCACAACAAACTGGATCGAAGCCATTTGTTTTGCTCTTCTCGTTGATCGCGTTGGCCGCCGGCCACTTTTCCTTACCTCTGCTTCTGGCATGTGTTGTACCTTCGCAACATGGATTGCTTTGACAGCTGTTCAGAACCGTATAGGAGCTTCCGGTCCTGGGAAAGGAGTTATTGTTATCATATTCTTCCATAACTTCTTTTACAATCTCTGCTGGCATGTGACGTCTTCCGATGAAGTTGTAATTGGATCTGACAAGCTGTTGTAGGGTGTCACTCAATGTCGCCTATCCATGCGAGATTCTACCGTACAGGTTGCGCGCGAATGGTCTCATGGTCCAGTCTTTGGCAACAAATGTGATGTTGTTCTTTAACCAATATGTTAATCCAATTGGCATTCAGCATGCGAGTTGGAGGTACTACTTCTTGTTTGAAGCAACTCTTCTTCTTCAGGTGAGTTGCCTAGTAAATTCTGTTCTGCCAATACTAAGCCATATTACAGCTCGTCACTGTGTATTTCTTCTTTATTGAGACGAAAGGTGCAACCCTGGAAGAAATTTCCCGTACTTTCGATGGCGAGGATGCTGTCAAGGAGATGAAAGTGCGCGCCTTGGCAACTGAGAAAGTGGATATGGTGGAGCAGGTTGAGTATTTGAATAACAAAGGAAGGAATACCTCCAACTTCGGCCAGCCGGAGTTATAGGTGTGTGCGAGAGTATATGCTATATTCTGTTTTCGTGGAACTACGAGATTCCACGGGCTTAGGAGACCGCCTACAGATTGCAAGCCACCCGGACCGCTAGAAGCAACAATCCAGACATTTATCTGTGGCAACTGATCACGAGGGGCGAATAGGGCGATGAAGAGAGATCAGGAGTTAATCGCCGTTGAATGATCTTAGTTATTGAATACTTTCCAACTATTCTATTACCTTTGCAAGACTGTGCTGTTAACCAATGATGATAACAGTTATCGACCCCATACCAACTCGCCGAGACGTGATATTTAGATTTCTGCTACTCCGTTCGTTCCTTGTGATTCGCTATTATTGCCAATCTCCGCAATCATCAACTTTCTCCTCTGCTGCGCGAGCATTTCCTACATACGGTCAGAAATCGCAACACATATGGACGTAAGGTAGTGTACCTGTTCAACAGTTGCTTTAATTATGTACCGTGTCACAAGAACAGATTTTGTCTGGTTCATGCGAATAGCTCTGGCAACTGCCTGGTTCTCAACACTTGGGTTCCATTGGGGTTCGATGATGAAGACTCGATTTGCCGTCGTGAGGTTTAGGCTGTGTTTGATGTTAGTCATATTCTTCAAATAGTATGCCGAATGACGTTTGTTTACCCAAATGCTCCTGTGCCAGTCGTCATGATGAGGACCGGAATTGCGGAAGAGTTCGAAAATTCATCAAGGATCTGCTGTCGACGGTTGAGTGGACTTTCGCCATCGATTCGATAAAATGAGATATTTTCCTCTCTGAGGTATCTCTCGATCAGATTTAGAGTATTAGTCCAACAAGAAAATATTATGCTGTTTGGAGGAAAACGTCAGTATATTGCCAAATCCCATCAGAATCTCACGTGCCTTTTGGTCTGGTCCAAGTCTTCCTTAACATCTGAGATCAAAGCCATCATCTTTGAGGAGTAGCCTTCTCGTCGCAGGTAAGAATCATTTTGCTCTTGTATCTCAGCATAGGGTCGGACAACCGAAGTGCGTACCCCGCTGATCGTACAAAGCGGGCAGTTCTTGTCCAGATCAAGTGTCACGCCACCAACTTGTTGGTTTTCATCCAAGCATTCTCTGCAAACAACATGTGCACAACTCCCTCGATACGTTCGGTAGAGGTTATTGGAGCCCAGCACAGGTAAGGACTGCCTGCAAGCAGAGCAATTAATCTCACCGTATTCAACTGAGTTCAACGCATCTTCCCTCTCGTCCTGCAGGCTTCTTTTAGCCCATGAGAACGGGTGCTGATACGTCCCATGGTTGCATAGTATTCGAAGCTGGAGCTGCACCTGGAACATGCCAAATATGCTCTTGCTGTACGACTCTCCGACTTTTTGCCGGAGAGCCCGATTCATGATCTTCTTCGTCTGCTCGTACTGTTCTCTCTCAGCGGCAGAGAATTCGATGGTCCTGATTCTGCTCTTTGGGTCGGGCAGATGCAAAAGTTCTCTCCCACGTCTTAGGCATAGAGATTCGAGCAGGAGTGTCAAGTTCTTCGTCGCTACTTCCCGACGCTCCAGACTCTCATCAAACGGTGTTGAGACAAATCTCCGGAACATAGCGATGTTATGAAATGGGGATGCACGAATGAATGCAAAAAGAGAGCCGATATCGTCAAGCCTATTTTGAATTGGTGTACCCGTCAGGCACCATCGAGATCTAGCTTTGAGATCAGTTACAGCTTTGAAGAAGGTTGTGACTTGTCGTCGGATAATATGAGCTAGAGGTGAGTTAGCGATACTTGTGCTTCGGTACGATGTTCCTGAATTACCTTCGTCCAAAACCACACGGTACCATTCCATTGCATGCAAAGGACTCGATTTGTCTCCAAAATCAGATACGATGGTGTGATATGTTGTGAGCACAATATCAGCATCTTCGAGCTGAAGTGTCTTGCGTTTCGGTCCATGGTACCTCAGAGTAGTGAGGCTTCCATCGAGATGTCTAGGACAAGAAAGTCAGATCAGTGTATTTTGATAATTTCTGTAGCAGAGGCTTACAGGCTAAGTTCATGAAACCATTCATTGATTAATACTAAACTGCGAGGTTAGCGCTTGTTTGAAGGTGGGGTAGCGCGGGTTCTGCGGGGAGACTTGCTCGCTGAAGGGACAACGACTAGAGTAGCTCGGCAAGGCTTCTGTCGAGTGTGTGGGTCCGGGTTTGCCTTCTTCTCTATTACCCAGTCGTAGGCTTTGTCGAGTGTCTTAGTGATAAGTGCCAGTGTGGAAAGCGACTTCCCCATCCCCATCTCATCGGCAAGAATTCCTCCACCAGTTTCGGGGGCCAAATTTCTATTTTTGGCTTTTGTAACTGCATGGAGATACCTATAAAGATTAACAATGGACCACGTTGACTGGACGTGCTAGATGATAAGGGACCTACCAGCCCTCGTGCTCTCCCTCCATTGCCTTCCACAACCGAAAATCTGGAGGAATTGGTCCATTTTCGCGCTGCAACATAAAGTATAGTGCTTCCTCTTGGTGTCTGATAGTTTTGTTAGCACTAATTTTCTGACCGCAGAAGCAGGGAGCCCTGTTAAGTGAAGGCCTATAATCCAATAGACAAGGCAATGACCCCAAACCCAGGGAAGGAAGGAGCAAACTTACGGCAATAATGTCGTCTTAAGCCGACGATCTCCTTCCTCTCTGTTGAGGTTCGCACCCCTCGTAAGCGAAGCATAGACATTGGAGATCGTCTCTCTGAACTTATCCGGATCGTCTAATTTTGGTGCTCGGTTGTTTCCCACATCCAATTGATTTTCAAAGCTCGATATTTGCATGTCCGCAAAAGAAAGGAAGTGAGGATTCTCATATGTTGCACCGACTCGAAGTTTGTCTGGACGTTGTAGATATAGTTTCTGGTTCGTCAAGTGACTCCCAATATCCTCCTTTGATTCTCTTGGCCCATATATGTGAATGCTAACACGGACCACAGCATCATTCGCTTTGGTCACTCTCTCAATTGTTTCCAGTATTGCTTGAATAGAGCCAATCGCTTCAAATTCGAGAGTGGGCCGCTGAAGGAGTGTCTCTAGGGCTTTGCTAGCGTGGTTGTTAAGCACGCTAAACTCTGTACCGTCTAGGAAGTGGAGAACTGTTTGTTCCTCTTTCTTTCTAATACCGAATTTGCACGAGTCGTTGTTTCGATAATCAAAGCTTCCCTTCAGTTTTGCCTCCATGTCTAACATGTTTCCCCCAACTCTGGCCGCAGATCGGTGTAACTGTTTTCTACATCAGCAATCATACGCAAAGAAATGTGGTGCTCATGGCTGATGGCAGTATGAAGATGTACCAACCATTCCATAGCAGATTATAGTAGATTCGTTCACAGGGCCATCTGTTGATACCCCTTCCGGTGGAGTAACTTGCGAATCTAGCAACGGGTCGATCGAAGGCATAGAATGTGTAGCCCACCACTCTATGCCTTCTTCTACAATGTGGGTCGATGTGCCACTGGCCCCGTCGATGTCCATTTGCAAGACATCGCTCCCATTCGGGAAGTCTGAACTGAGTATATCCCCCCACATCCTATCCCAGGGTTTCTCAGCCAGCGCAAGTTCGTTGCTTTTTCTCTTGAGTATCAATACTCTCAAAATCGAGTGTTTGAAACTAACCTTCGGGTGGGGGATACTCTGTATGCTTCATTCCGAATAAATTGCTGCTCGTCAGACCCTTCACTGGCATCTTCATTCAACAATCTCTTAAGAGAGGACATGCCGAAAGGGAGAAGAATAGGCACGGCCAAGGAGCAAATTGTGGATTCAGAAGACAGTTTCAAAAGCCCTATGCCACACCTTCTAATCGTAGATGTTCACTCGGGGGTTAGAAAAGGGGACATATGACGTAGTCCACTGAAAACGCCGTTTTCCTTGTATGGTTGTTGCCAAATTCATCAATCTACAGCCCTCAATTTACGAGCCCGGCAGGTGACTTGGAGACGAAAGCTGCCTTGGCACTCCTACAGCTCAGCCTTAAAATCGATCGTTTACCCGACTACAGCTAAATAGTGGCATCCTCCGTGCCGTGCGCAGGAAAAATCGAAGTTTCACTAGGGCTTCCTCTGCGCTAAAATTGCAGTGCCTAGCGTACTCGGTGAACACATTGAGCGAGGCTGAGCTGCAGCCACAAGCGACCAGATTTCCTCCAGGCTCCAGTCGAGAACTGCAGTGCTGCCTAATTCCAGAAGAAGAAAGCCAGGTTGCGGCTAGGGTATACCTCCAACTGCACTAAAACTGCAGTGCACACAGGAGATATTGGCGGAGGGGCCACGTTGCCCTGAAAGCCTAATCAAGCCACAGGTCTCAGATCGATGGGGACCAAGGATCAATCATCGCTCTCGGAAGCTGGGGCTCGCGAACCCACAGCATGATTGAAGCCTTCGTCTACACTAAAACTGCAGCACACTTAGCTCACATTGGTTCCCCCCCCCCCAAAAAACGTGTGGCAGGGCTGCACTGCAATTTTAGCGTCCACGAAGAGTATCGATTTATTGATGCCCATGCCAAGGCGTGTGGTGATGAACTTCCCTTGGGCTTTTTATTGTGAAAATGCTGGCGCAATGGTTGTACTGTTGGCGGTGTGGCTCTGATGATTTGACGTTCACGCAGAGTTCCTCATGTTCTGTAGCAAAATTCGCACCGTCAACCACACAGTGTTCGATGCTCCTTAACAGCGCTAAAACTGCTGTGAAGCCCTCGACGCAACAGGGAAGTCGTGCTGCTGGCGAAGCCTGGAGGACGTTACAAGCGTCAATTGTTAATGGTCTTTTTCCTTTGGCGGCGATACTGAGGCCCACAGCTAGCTAGCGGACAAATCCGAGAAGCGAAAAGTGATTTTCTGATTTTCTGATTTTCGCACTGGCGCCCCGCACCTCCCCAAGGCAGAATTCCTAATTAGGGGTATAGCACCCACACGTGACTTTCGGCTTGGATAACGTAATAATAGTAAGGCTGCTTGCTTATCTAATTAATAAAGTGAGAGCCCATACTACTGCGTAAAATCATACCAAAATTAGGCCGGATAATATAATATAAAATTAAGTATTTATTATAAATTACTATAGTCAGGTAACCACAGGCTATAAGCCCTTCTAGGATAATACTATTAATAGGATCTAATAACTTTCTTAATATTCCCGAGATTAGAAATAAGAAAATTAAACTATTAAAATAACTAAGAAGCTAGCTAATTTTTTTTTTTAGTAATTAATTAATAAAATTATATAGAAGTAATATTACTAAAAAATATATTATAATAATAAAGCATATTCTAAACTTAACTTCTATTAAAATAACTTAGTAAATTTTATTAAAATAATACTATAACTTTTAATAAAGCTATTACTAAATAGGCTTATATAAATATTAATTAAGAAGAAATTATAAATAAATTAAAAGATTTATATAAAATCTTAGTTAATTCATATATAATCTAATAGTAATTATAAGAATAAAATATCTAAATATATACTTAAATAGTAAATATACCTTTTTTTTATATATAAATTATAATTCTATATTATCTAGGAAATATAGATAAGGAAATATAGATAAGGAAATACTTAAGGATTTTGAGAATTATAATTATATAGCTTTAATTACTAGAGTTATTTATATATATAAGAAGCTTAGTCTTATTTACTATATAACTATAATAAATAAGTAAGTAGTAAATAAGTAACTATTTATAATACTATAAAGTAAGCTAAATAATAGGCGAGTTATAGGTTATAAATAGTAATATTTATATATATACTTCTATTAATAAGGTTTACTAGTAACCCGGTTAGTCTTTCTATACTTTATTATTTTATTCTAGCTTAAAAGATTAGGGCCTTATTTACTAATATATTTTATTATTTATAAGAAGAGCTTATATATAATATTATAATTCCTGGATCCCGAGGTAATTATATTATAAATATAATAAATATAGTCTAAGAAAAGAAAATATATTATATCTAGGCTAGACTAGATTTAATTAATTAATAGATATAATAAACTATTACTATTTAGAATCGAGATATATACTTATATTAATACTTATTTATATAATATTATCTAAATATATATTAGAATCTTTAATTAGATTACCTATTTAGTTATATAGTAATATTTTTAGATTTATACTTAAATAGGCTACTATTCTTATTTCTTTAGGGCTAATTAAAGCTCTAAACTTTACCTTATTACTAAAGTATACTTTATATTCTCGCAAATAGCTAATTTATTAATTATATATATAAAGAACTATTTTATTTCTAGGAAAAGTACCGAGAATTAGTAAATTAAATCCTAGTAATAAGAGCTTTAGAAAAGCTAGCTATACTAGTAATATATAAGTAATTCTATTTCCCTATATTTATTTCTTATTTTTTTTATTATTAGGAGAAAGTATTAGGTATTAATAATTATACCGCTTTTTATTAAAGCTATTAGATCTAGTATTATAGTACTAGATTATATAACTAATTCTAATTAGTATATATAGAACTACTTTTAGGAACTAGCTCATACCGGGAATTATAATTACTAATACTTATAAGACCGGATTACTTTACTAGTACTTTATATATAGCAGATTCAAAATAAAATATATAAGTTTATAAACTTATAAAATATTTATAGGATTAGAAAAGATAAATCTAGGCCTAATATAATAGCTAGTAAGCTATTTAGACTATATATAAGGCCCCTAGGCAAGATATAGTACTAGGGTCGCCCTATAGATATAGAGCTTTATAATATAATCCTTAATAATTATTTAGTTTAGGGTAAGTAATATAACCTTATATAGCTTTATATAAATAGTTTACTTATATACTAATATAAATATTAATGAGTTTTTACTAAGAGAAATATTAAAGTAATACTATTAGAAGCTTATATCTTATAATATAAATATAGCTAATATTTATATAAGAAATACTAATAGAAATAATAATTAACTATATATTTAAGCTTATTACTAGCTCTAATATATAGTCCGGATATATATAGCCTTAGGGCAGCTACTAATATTAGGAAAGTCCGAGAAGCTAACTAGTAAATATAATATTACTATTATATAAAATAGAATTCTTAAGTAAGTTATTCTAATAAATATAGAATATATAAATAATATATAGGCCAGAAAAATACCTATATAATTCCTAATAGTTCAGAACTTTACCCAGAAATAGCTTTTTATTAGTAATATTTCTAATAATATAGGATAATTAAATAAGCTAGTTATAAAGTAACTAGATATATTAAGATAAGTATTATTTATTATTAAATATATTATTTTCGAAACCCCTTTCTTACTTTTAAAAGTAATACTAATAGAATTATTAAGTTTATTTACTATATAAATATTTTATATTCTTAAATTCTTATTTCTTAAAATAATACTACTATTTCTTAAAACCTGCCCTAATACTATATACCTTATAGCCAAATACTAGTATAATAATATCTAATATTATAAGTTCTATTAATCTACTAATAATAAATATAATATAAAAGCCGCTGCTTTATTTACCTAGAATAATAATACTAGTAAACTTAAACCTTATAACTCTGGAATTCCGTCTATATTTGCCTCTTTCTTTATATCTAAAATACTTTAGATCTCTAGCTCTTTTTAGTATCCTTATTTCATATCTTTTTTTCTAGAAATATTTACTATACCTATTTCTCTAGTTATTATTATTATATAGCCACTAGATACTAGTTCTATTTTACTTTAGGCTCTTCTTACTCTAATAGCTCTATAACTACTTCCTTTTATATTTCTTTTTACTATAAGCTATATTATTTAACCTAACTACTTTTCTAATAATACTTATATTATTATATAAGCTTAACGGGCTATAAATACAAGAGTTATTCAGGCTACTACCTAGGCTATAGTTTCTTATACTAGTAATAAGTTATCTAAAGTTTTTTAAGGTCTTATAAATCAAAATATAGCCGGATCTAGTTTTATAAAATTATAGACTATAATTTTATAACTAGTTTTCTATAAATAGGTATTTAATAATATAAAGAATTAGAGAGCTAAATAAAGAACTATCTAACTTTCTAAAAAAGTTAGTAATAAGTTTTCTCTTATTTCTTTTACTAGATTCTTTATATAAATTCTAATAAATGTTTTTTAATAAGTAGCTTTTAATTTAAAATAAATAATTAAGTCTTTTTTATTCTTTCTAATATAGTTTCTTAATAGCTACTTTCTTATTTTTCTCTTTATATTAGCGGATTTACCTGCTATTATTAATTTATTAATAATATAAATAAACTAGTATTTTATACTAGTTCTAATAATAAAAGAGCCCAGAAACTTATAGTCTTACTAGGTTCTATTTAAACTATCTTTAATCTTTCTTACTATAATATATATCTGGGCCCTAAAAATATCTAAATAATTTTCCTTATTTTATACTAGAATAAAACTTTATATAAAGATATCTATTTTGAAATTA